TTGCCGTCTGTTGTATTGTTTTAAATCCACATAGTGACGAAATAAGATGCACAGAAGATGCCATTAAGCAACGATCATCTATTTTCTTGGTATGTTTTATAATTTAAATCTATAGAAATGATGATCAGAATTATCATTAATTTGTTATTTTGGTAGGTATTATTAAATGAAGATACATTTCCAAAAGAAAGTGATATTTCGGAAATTCAGGAAGGATCAAGAGAAATGACAAATTATAATGATAATGTTGAAGAAATTTCTGAAGATAATGATGACGCGAGATTATTTGAGTAGTTATTTTACTGTTCAATTCATAATTGTTTGTAATAGAATATAAATTTTATTAGTAAAGAAATGCAACGAAAAGATGTAAAATTTATTATTAAATAAATGCAAAAAATTTCATTATTAAAAAATGCGAAAGTTTTTATTATTGAAAAAATATGAAAATTTTATTTTAAAAGAAGCGCGAAAATTTTTATTATTGAAAAAATACGTGAATCTTTATTATTGAAAACATATATAAATTCTCATTGATAAAAAGATACGTAAAATTTTATTTTAAAAAAAATGCGAAAATTCTTATTATTAAGGTTATTCACTATTTTTGTACACCCGTATACCCGTGTGAATTTGCGTAATTTTTTAAAGACGTAAAATTTTGCAGATCCACGCCTTGTTTTAACTCCTGATAGTTCCTATTAGGCTCAAGCTCTCGGCAAATAAAATTTTAGGTTCTCGTAATAAAATTATGTGAGTGAATGTACTATATGTAGATTATAATAAATTAACTCATAAACAACAACAAAAATATTCTTTATTCTATCCGTCCGATTTCAATTTTCAAATTTCTTATGAACCTCACAATTCTTTTCTTCATTTGCTTTAATCTTGCACCTACTTTCCCGTTATTATTTTACTTTCATTTCGTAATCCTTCTTTATAATATTATAGGAATCCTCGATCAACATGACGATTATTATGAAGTTATAGATTTTGTCGAATATATAATGACTTTTTTGGTCAAAATTATTCATGTAGTGCAAAAAAAAAAATTCTAAATAACTATTTTTTTAAAAAAATTACACGTGTATGTAATACATAAAAGAATAATTCATAACGATAACAAGCTGATAGTTGGAAAATTTAATTTTATCAGCCATTTAAAATTGTAAATTTAACCGGAAACGTAACTTTTATGTCTATTTATATATGTAAGCAAAAATATCACTCAAAACGTACGTGATAACTCCCTCGTGATCGACTGATCATAATTTTTATTCACCAGAATTAATATAAAATTTACGAGATAAATGCAAAAAAATAATATTCTGATATTATTCTCTTTAATTTGTATTGAAGGTTCTCAATATTATTTATTTAATTCAAGAATATGAAGCAGTAAATCAAGTTTCTAATATAAGTATACACAAATTTATGAAACACTTACCAAACTTGGAAAAATTAGAATTTAGTATAAGTAAAAATAATAAATTATTATCGAATTTCAGAAAAATTGAAGTCCAACATCATTGATTATCTCGGCAATTGACAATTTTAAGATGATTTTAATAGTGGTTTTGGTTATAATTCTGAAAATTTGGTAAACGATTATTGACCATTATTTGGAGATAGTGCATGAATTTGATGTCGGCTTCATTATAGAAATTCATTGTAAAGTAAAAATCATCTGATGAATTTGAGCTTACCATATATATAAGGTGAACAATAAGTTTACTTTAGTAAGATGGATTGTTATTAAACATAATTCTGACTTATTTCTTAATAATTTACGATAAAAAGTACACTATAATTTAAAATTTGTATTTATGTATCTTGCATAAATGAACCAGTTAATAGGCTTAGGATGTCATAATATGTCATCACTGTCACGTACGCTACTTGTAAAAATCCTATTTGTTACCACTATAAACTGAAAATGAAACCCTAAAACTAAATGATATTTGGAATAATAAGTTATTAAAAAGAGAATTTCTCTTTTATCTTCTAGAATGAATATGAATTGCTTATAAGAAGCTTTTTATGCTGTAGATTATTCTTTAGGATTTTATCTTGAATTTATATTCCATTAAATAGGTCAAACTGAACTTGATATGACTAAATTTTAGCTATACTGTGTATTAATGTATATCTTAAAATAATCATGTTTTACCTTCTTTTTTTTTTATTGTTACTACTAATGCTTCTTCATATAATATGAATCTACAAAACTTAACGTATCAAAGATAATAAAATCGTCGCTTTATATAAACAGTATGTTGCGCTTCCTTATGTTCTTATGTTCGGATCGTCATTAATGATAAAGGCGCAGCTAATACCGGAAATATTTTTTCCGTTTTTTTTTCCGCAAAGCTAGTGTAACATAGTACAAATACTTTTTTGTTCATAAAATGAAATAAATTCCTAAAATATTATCATTGAAATATATATTTCTTTTTCTTAAACACTTTCTTAAAAAATGACGAGAGGTTATTCATTAGAACAAGATTTAAGATTATTAATAAATAATCCAAAATATAGCGATTTAGAAATTTTATGTGAAGATGAAAAGAAATTACATGCTTGTAGAGCAATTTTAGCTGCAAGATCCGAAGTATTTGATAGATTACTTTATAACGGGATGAAGGAAAGTTATGAAAAAAAAATTTCTTTTCCAAAAATTAAGTCCGTTGGAATGGAGATTGTATTAGAATATACTTATACGGGATCAATTAAAGAAGAATCTTTAACAAAGGATAATATAATTGAAGCTTTTTACGCTGCTGACTATTTTCAATTACCGGACCTTCAGAATTTTATTATGAAAGTTTTCAAAAATACATTAGAAAAAAATCCTACAGAAAATTATTCACCAGAATTATTATCTAAATTTGCAGGAAAAATGCCATTAACAGAAGATAATATTCTACTTAATTTATTGGTTGAAGCGGTAGCGAATATTCCATTAAATACTATTGAATTCGGTCGATTGTCTATTGCAGGTCTTCAATTTCTTTTATCCTGTACATATGAGAAAGAAATGGTATTTGCAACTCCAGAATATGAAGTTTTTCGATATAGTGCTATTCTTGCAGCAAAACACGTTTCTAATGATGCATATTCAACTCTTATGAAACAATTGCCTACCATAGAACAAATGCAAATAGATAATTCAGTTCAAATAAAAAATAAATTTATTACTGATCATCAAAATGTTGCTAAAGAATTGGAACCTTTGATTGAATTTATTAATTTCAAGCGAATTAAAGGTCAAATTTTAGCCGATGTTATTGATCCATTAGAAATTATTCCTTCTAAAGTAATTTTAAATGTTTATCGAGACATAGCAAGGTCAAACATGCCAAATTTAAATGATACTCGAGGAATACCAAAAACGTTGTACGTTTGGGATGAAAAAGCATGCGGATCAAATCTTATTATTGAAGATAATGGGAAAATTGTACAAGCAGAAGAAGATTGCATTGATCACCAGTGTGTTAGAGGTACAATAGCATTGGAAAATAAAGGGACTTTTGAGTGGGATATTATTATTGAGAAAAATTGTTCATGGTCTTGGATTAGAGTGTGTGAATCAAAAAATTTTAATTATGAAACCTTTGCAGGTAATCAACCTACTGGACGGGTATTGGGTTCCGGTGGTCTTTGCAATTCTACTAGTGGATTTTATTATTGTCTGCCATTTCACGAAGATGGTGCAAGAATTACGGTTCATTTAGATATGAATAAAAGAACTTGTGCTTTTACGGTCAATGGTAAAAAGTATCGGGAAGTATCAGAATGGGATAATTTACCGTCAAAACTTTATCCGGTAGTATCATTAAATTATCCTGGTCGCTTTCGAATTCAGCCTCATCAAAAAAATGTTTAATTATGTCATTTGGAAATAATTTATTATTTATTTTTATCAAAATTTATGATAAAAAGTTGTCTAATTAAAAGATTGCATTTTTGAATATAGCCATTTTTAGTTCAATTCGCTAATTTTAGTTATACATAATTATTTATTTATCCTAAGTTTTAACAAAACTTTTACATGTATTTATATTCTGAAATGGAATTTTAAATAAATTACAATTTTTTTTTCTTAAATTGAAAAAAAAGAGAGAAATATTTATTAAAACATATTTTATTCGAATCTAATTGTTCTTATAAAAATTACTAGTAAGGAAGAAAATTATGACATGTTGAAATGTTTTGATAAATTAAATTAAATGTCATTGAAAATTTTAATCTTTTGTAATTAATAACGTTAAATAACTTTGAAATGAACAGGACATAATTCTTTAACATTCCATTTAGGAAGTTTGCACATTTTTGTTTTTTTTTAAAACTAAAGAATTTATAATTTTATTGATTATTATTCATTTACAAAAGAACTTACTTAGTCCAAACAAAGTATTATATAAACTAAAATAAATAAAGAGGTATATACTGTAATCAAAGATACAAAAATACTAAATGAAAAAGTGCTAGAAAAAAATGAATAATATTAACTAAAATAAAAAAAAAGTGTAATTAATTGAAGCTATATTGTAAAAGGTAAATATTTAATTAACATAATAGTTTACATAAAATATATAATAAATTTTTTTTTAAAATAAAATTTATTTCTTCTAATAAAATTTGAAATATCAAGAGGTCAATTTCTTGGCATAATGGTAAATTCGCACAATTTTTTTATATAATCAGTTATAACAGTTTTTTATAAGTACATTATAACTATACTCGAGTATGATTTATATCTTTCCGCGCATTTTACTATTACAAGACTGCTCTTTCTTACTGTTTGAAATAATATCAAGATATTAATTATTGAATGACACAAGGTGACCAACGTAACATACTGTATCCATAATGATACTATATGATGTACGAATATTCTTGTTTCGATTTATTTACGTAAGCGAATCAATGTAAATATTTATTTTAAAATTATTGAAGTATTTAGAAAAAGAAAAGAATATTTTGGTAAAATTTTTTATAGAAAAATTTTCACTTATTTTCCTTCAAGTTTCTTAAGCACTTTCGCAATAATAAAACACATATCATCAACAACACAAATGGAATTGTTCCGCCAAAATCTTTTCATCTGATATTATGAAATAAATAATAACACAATCCTTATCATCGTCACGCCATAATACGATCGTTTCGTGAACAAAATGTTTGAAAAAGTTAATAGGCTGCACGTACGTAATTTTATATAGTAATTCATCCGGCTTAGTAATTGAGAATATCTTTTTCAATGTGAGAAATTTCTAGAAGAAAGTGACGAAAGAGAAGTATTCAGTTTAATAAATCTCAAATTACTATACGAGTACTAGTAATGCCTTGTCATTTAAAATACGCCGGCCGAATAATATTATATTTCAGTTTTTCATTTAATAATCGTATTACTGCAGAAAAACATAATTTGGATCTTATGAAATTCTCATGAATCAAACGCGAAAAAAATTCTTTAACATGATTTCGTTTTTAGTTAATAATTTAATTCAATATAATTATTTATTAGGTTTATTTATATCAAATACTATATTTAATATTCACATTTTTTTTTTACCAACAACTAGGATTAAAGAAGTTTGACATAGTAACCTTAATAAAAGGTTAAATAAATTTAAGTTACAAAAATCAAAAAATTTATTTTTCTTGGCTTAATAATTTGTTTAGTATACATATTATATATGACTCAAAATTTATATAATAAAAATTTATATTCAAAAACTTATATTCAATAATCTAATTTTTTTGATGAGGTAAAATTTGAAAGCGACCGGGAGAATTAAATGATACTACCGGATAAAGCTTTGATGGTAAATTATTCCATTCTGATACTTCCGCATACTTTTTACCATTGACTGTAAAAGCACAAGTTCTTTTATTCATATCTAAATGAACCGTAATTCTTGCACCATCTTCTTGAAATGGGGGACAATAATGTCCCACATAGTTATTATGATTATAAAGCGCACCACCAGAACCTAATACCCATCCAGTAAGTTGGTTTCCTGCCCAATCTTCATAATTAATATTTTCTGATGCACATACTCCAACCCAAGATCCAGAACAATTTTTCTCAATAATAACATCCCATTCAAAAATACCTTTATCTTCTAATGCTATTTTAGCTCTAACGCTTTGAAAACCACAACCTTTTGGTGCATATACAATTTTTCCATTATCCTCAATGATAAATTTTGATCCACATGCTGACTTATCCCAAACATAGCCGATTTCATTAATTGATATTCCACGAGTATTATTTAAATTTAAATTACTCGATAACGCTACATATCGATAAACATTAGAAATTATTTTATCTGGGATAATTTCTAGTGGTTCAATTATATCGGCTAATATTTGAGGTTTAATTCTTCTGAAATCAATAAATTTAACCAAAGTTTCTAATTCTTTAGCAACTTTTTGATGATCAGTAAATTTATTTTCTACCTTGATTGGATTTGTATTTGCTAACTGTTCTAATGTTGGCAATTGTTTCATAAGAATTTTATGTGCATCATTAGAAACTTGCTTTGCTGCAAGAATAGCGCTATATCGAAAAACTTCATATTCTGGAGTTACAAATGGTTTTTCTTTTTCATATGTACAAGACAAAAGATATTTAAGGCCCGTAATAGACAATCGACCAAATTCAATATTATTTAATGAAATATTTGCTGCTGCTTCAACCAATAAATTAAGAAGAATATTATCTTCTGTTAATGGCATTTTTTCCGAAATTTTAGTTAGTAATTCTGGTGAATAATTTTTTGCAAAATTGGTACTATTCTTAACTGTTTTCAAAATAAAATCTTGAAGGTCTGATAATTGAAAATAGTCTGCAGCGTAAAAAGCTTCAACAGTATTATCTTTTGTTAAAGATTCTTCTTTAACTGACCCTGTATAAATATATTCTAATATAATTTCCATTCCAGCGGACTTAATCTTTGGAAAAGAAATTTGTTTTTCATAACTTTCTTTCATTCCATTATAAAGTAATCTATCAAATACATCGGACCTAGCTGCTAAAATTGCTCTACAACCGTGTAATATCTTTTCATCTTCACATAAAATTTCTACATCACTGTACTTTGGATTATTTACTAACAATCTTAAATCTTGTTCTAATGAATATCCTCTCGTCATTTTTTCAAGAAACCTTTTTTTTAAAAAAAAGTAAACTTATTTTGGATGTTAATGAACCAATATTTATATTATTCTGTACTATGTTGTGCTAAACTTAGAAATGCATTAGAATTGTGGCTTAGATAATTTTACCCATTCTTATATTAATCGGTCATCATTATGGAGGCGCAGCAAAAAAGTTCATATGATATACATGTGATGTATCCGATCAGGAATGCGGTGAAATTTTGGACACGTTCTCCAAATTCAATTTAAAATACGGCGTGATTCATTACATTTTGGACAATTTTGTGCATTCTTTTAAACTTCTTGTGAATGCATAACAGCTATTTGTACAATAATTGATCTATTCAGGTTTGATTGGCATAATATTTTTGATGCTCACAAAGGTTAGCCATAATTTCTTGACACATTTGATCAGTCATACTTGTACGTAACTCTATTTTCAGTATCAAATGTATCAAATGTATCAAATGCATCAAATGCATAGGTCGAAGGTTTAGTTTGCATTAAATTTATCATAATTAACCAAAATTTAAAAAACATAAATACTCTCTATAATTATTATTTTTTCTTTCAAGTAGCGCTTAGCGCTTTCGCATAGAAAAAATTAATACTATTAGGCTGCACGTAATTTTATATCGGTATGGAAAAATTTATTGAGAATATTTGTTTCAATGTGAAAAGTTCCTGATGAAGGAAAAGAAGTATTCAGATTAATAAACTTCAATTGTATAAGTACTAATGCCTTGCAATTTAAAATATGCAGGCTGAATAATATTATATTTCAGTAATAATCATATTCCTACATCAAAACATAATTTGGATCTTATGAATAATGAAATTCTTGTGAATCAATGCAAAAAAAAATTCTTTAACGTGATTACAATTTTAGTTAATAATTTAAGTTCAATATAATTACTTATGTTTATTTATATTGAGAATTCACATTTTTTTTACCTAATATTAAATAAGTTTGACATAATTCTTGCAATAATCAAAATATTTTATTTTTATAGTACTTCAATACATAAGAATAATCATATGGAATCATAATTTATATAATAATTCTATTCACATAATTTATACTCAATATTCTAAATTTTTTTGATAAGATAGAATTCGAAAAAGACCAGGATAACATAACGATACTACCGGATAAATCTTTGATGGTAAATTATTTCATTCTGATACTTCCCGATACTTTTTACCATTGACTGTAAAAGCACAAGTTCTTTTGTTCATATCTAAATAAACTGTAATTCTTGCACCATCTTCGTGAAATGACGGACAATAATAAAATCCACTAGCAGGATTGTAAAGACAACCGGAACCAAATACCCATCCAGTAGGTTGATTACCTGCAAAGGTTTGATAATCAAAATTTTTTGATGCGCACACTCCAACCCAAGACCATGAACAATTTTTTTTAATAATAACATCCCATTTAAAAGTCCTTTATTTTCGAACGCTATTGTGCCTCTAACACATTGGTGAACATTGCTATTTTTTCTGCTTGCACAATTTTCCATTATCCTTAATAACAACGAAGTTTTGATCTATATGCTGGCTTATACCAAACATAATCAATTTCATTAATTGACGTTCCACGAGTATTAATTAAATTATTTAAATTTAAATTATTTGATAACGCTATATATCGATAAGCATTAGAAATTATTTTATCTGGGACAATTTCTAGTGGTTCAATAATATCGGCTAATATTTGAACTTTAATTCTTCTGAAATCAATAAATTTAATCAAAGGTTCTAATTCTTTGCCAACTTTTCGATGATCGGTAATGAATTTATTTTTTACTTTGATTGGATTCTCTATTTTTTCTAAAGTTGGCAACAGTTTCGTGAGAGTTTTATGTGCATCATTAGAAACTTGTTTTGCTGCAAGAATAGCGCTATATCGAAAAACCTCATATTCTGGAGTTGCAAATGGTTTTTCTTTTTCATATATATAAGATAAAAGACATTTAAGGCCCGTGATAGACAATCGACCAAATTTAATATTATTTAATGAAATATTTGCTACTGCTTCAACCAATAAATTAAGAAGAACGTTATCTTCTGTTAATGGCATTTTTTCCGAAATTTTAGATAGTAATTCCGGTGAATAATTTTTTGCAAAATTAGTATTCTTAAATGTTTTAAAAATAAAATCTTGTAGGTCCGATAATTGAAAATAGACTGCAGCGTAAAAAGCTTCAACAGTATTATCTTTTGTTAAAGATTCTTCTTTAACTGACCCTGATAAATATATTCTAATATAATTTCCATTCCAGCAGAATTAATTTTTGGAAAAGAAATTTTGTTTTCATAACTTTCTTTCATTCCATTATAAAATAATCTATCAAATACTTCGGATCTTGCTGCTAAAATTGCTCTACAACCGTGTAATTTCTTTCCATCTTCACATAAAATTTCTATATCACTATACTTTGGATTATTTACTAATAATCTTAAATCTTGTTCTAATGAATATCCTCTTGTCATTTTTTCAAAAAACCTTTTTTTTAAAAAAAAAGTAAACATTTTTTTTTTTTTTTATTTTAGATTTTTAATGAAAATATTTATATTATTCTGTACTAAACTTAGAAATGCATTGTTTTGATACATCACATGTAGTATATCATATGAATTCTTTTGCTGCGCCCATAATGATGACCGATCGATTAATTATTTTTTATATTTGGAGTTCTTTCTAATTCCTTGCATTCGTTAATAAAGTATTGTTGTATTTCTTCCTCTTTTGGATCTGCATTTTTGTTAGACGGACTTGTAAACCTTCCATTTCCACTTCTTTTGCTACTCGTGGTCAAAACGAGTGGAAAGCCAATATGTGCTCCTTTTTCCATAACAATACTACCCTTGTCAGTTCCTGTTACCTCAGAATGGCGTTTGCAGAAATGATTGACGGATCAGATGAATAACATACCTAGTGAATAGATCGATGCTATCCATAGCACGAATTAGTTTATTAAAATCCTGCTCTATTTTAAAACCAAGGCCGCTCAATTCATTTTTGATGTCCCTCACTTCATTTTTGATCTCCCTCACGTCATTTTTGATGTCCTTCACTTCATCTTTGACGACTTCCTTAATTATATTTTTCAGAGAATCTAAATTAGGAAAATCACCTTGTCCTAAAAAGTTTAACATTATTGTTAGGAAATGAGAAAGTAGAATATTCGATATTATCGTAGAAGAAAAATCATCAAGCTAGGTTGCGTTTCGTGTTGACTAATTTATTATGACTCACTTACCAGCAGCTGATTGCTCTACGATAACGCGAATGTTTTTGACGATCATAAGCAGGAGGAAAGAAAAGCACAAGAATAAGTAAGTATTATTATTGGCAAACCAAATAATGTAGTTAAGCATACTTGAAAACATACTAGAAGATAACAATGTTCTCAAGTATCTAAGCCTAACTCTATCATTTCCGTATTTAAGGCATTCTTCAATATCGGCTACTTTATTAGGGTTGACAACGATATAAGCCAATAAGCCACTAAATTCTTCATCCGTGATTCCAGAGTTCACGTTATAGAGACGACTAATTTCTTTACGAACATTAGTTGAAGAAGCCATTTAAGATTTTTGTGCAAATGAATAGCTTCACAAAATGGTTAGAATAAAAAGGGATTTTTTTGCAGAAATGGGAAATTAAGATATATATATGAAATCGAGATTGATTAGTTGATCATCTAAGTGAATCATGTGTCATAAAGACTAAAGGTGATGCGCACTATAGAATTCAAATTCAGATCGGCGACTTTTATTTGCAAAGAAAAAAAGATGCTTTACGGTAGAGCATATGATTGAAGATCGTAGGGCGCAGGTTCAACTTGATTTTTCGCTAGCTTGAGAAATGAAATAATATATGATGCTATCAAAGAGGGAGGGCGATAAAGACAATATCCTATCACGGGGAATTATTTTTATGATATTGCGCCTATTATACGTATGATGATTTTCTCAAAATGCCGATACATAGCAAGAAGAGTAAAATGTTCATTTTGTTTTAGAACATCTAGTATAGAGGTTGGAAAATCGATTAACATCGTGATGATATGTTTCAAGAAGCTAGCTGACCTTACTAGAATAATCTCGTTTATTTGATCAAGGATGTAAGTTTGATTAGAAATTATTGGTTTTACCTGATTTTTTGATTTTTTGCTTATATTTGCACAAGGTAGATAAAAAGGTTCACTAACTGTCCCCCCTTCTTTTTATATGATTTGTAGTGGGTCTAAGGTTCGATTTTTGGAATAAATCTTTAGAAGAAATTACGATATTATTATTCATCACGAAAATCAGATCAACGGATACTCCTTAAAATTATAATAGAAAAATTAAATGCTATCCATATATAAAGATCATCATCGGTTTAATCCGTGCTTAAAAATAATTAAAATTTTATTTTTATTCGTGATCCACGAGTCCACTGCAAACGATCTACAGAAAATGATGGGAATCTGGCGTGGCGTCAAATAAAAGTAGAAAATTATGTGAAAAAATTATTGTAAAAATCAACTTTGGGATAAATATTATGCATTAAAATATGTTGGTGTTTAATGAGTTTACATAAAGACATAAATTTGCACCGAAATCATGTATGAATTTTTTGCGACTCACGGATCATGAATTAATATAGTAATAAAATAATATATTTTGTATATATTTTTTTTTCTGAAAAAATAAACTGGTCTGCGGATGTTACATGTGTGGATCATGTGATTCAAGCCAAGAAGACTCGAGGATATTATTTCTTCTGGAATCACATTCACAGATAATATTTTATGGAGAATATAAATAGCCAAAAGGTCCGTTAGTATATATACATTCTGCTAAGAAAAAAAATAGGTTATAAAGTCACCAGATTTTCGGGTGCCAGAAAATTTTTTATTAATACATGTAAAAAATAAATACAAAGTTGTGAACATAGTTCACTGATACATGAAGTTTCTATGATATGCCTAATGTATAATCCCACGGAATTTCGCTCCGCGTTCTTTATGAAATGTCTATAAATACATGATTATTATTAATGACAAGAACTAAGACTACAAGAAAACACAGTCTTGACTCTGTAAAGGAAATAAATTCTTACGCATTATATCTATCTAGTAAGTTAGAATATTTGAGTCGTTCCCCCTCAAAAAGCTTTTTGTGTCCGCCCGACTTGCCATCCTGAAGTCAATCAGGTAGGTACACATCGCCGTTATCGTTAATTAAGTTGTTTTCCTCCCGAATATCATTGTGGAGGATGCTATGCTTGTTAATCGCTTCTAATCCCTTAATAGCCCTTGACCTTTGCCGTTTCGTTATTTTTACTCGCTTAGCGTAGTACCGACAATGGTCATGCCGATAACGAAGCTCATTCCTCCTCCATAATATTCATAACAGACCAACTTTGGGATACACTCACCTTGAATATCAGCGAGGTCCTTATAAATCTCAACTTCTTTTTGCATTTCTTTCAAGACATATGGTGGGGCCTTCGATAAGTTTACACTCTTCAAAGCAATCAGATCGCCACACGAAACTCACATAGGAGTGTTTTACCACTTCGTCCTTCACCTAGTATGCCCTTAAACTTGAAGTCCGTAAAGCCACAATTTTGTTGATTTACGGGAATGTTAGAAGGCAATTGTTTATTTAGCAAGATGCTAGAAGACTGTTGATTTGAGAATCTAAAAGACGATTTTGAGTGACCGAAGAGTACGTGAATTATTATCTTCGTGAACCGGCACTAGTAGCACTAGTACTTGAGGATGAGGAGACTTTGGATTCTCTTTTGCTTGCCGAGTTATATAAGCATATGTGGTGGAAGAGTTTTTGAAATCCAGAGCTCTGTATACTCTCGACGTAGAAACCAGTGATTGTCGTAAGCGGCAAGGATGCCATATCTAAGTTCGTATCCCATGTAATTGTAGATTTGTTGGATTACCATTCTTGCCTTTTCATCCGTCTGATAAAACTCGGGGAATGTCCTTCCGTTGATATCTTCCAAAACATGTTTCCTCTTAACTTAAATCACCAAGATCAATAATTCCACGAGATAGTGACAGGTGAAATCCGGTATGCCAGGATTATAAGTTTGTCGCATCGAATACTCAAATATTAACATTCATGGAATTACGAAGAACTTCTTCATTGAGTACAACAAATCTATCATTAAATCTCGGCCTCTGAATTTCGGTTATTGGTCGAAGCGGAATTGATTCACTTCCTCGAAAAAATCCCCCATAGAAGCATTCTTGTTTGCGGGCTACCATTGACCTTTGTAGTGGTCTTTGATGTAGTGCATTTCGGAGAATATGTTAAGGGTGGTGGAAACCGTGGAATACAAGATAACGCCTCTTCCAAACTAAGAACTAGAAACAAATACGTATTAATATCACGAGGGCAAATGACGAAAAATTACAGACCAGACACTTACGTGGCAACTTTACGAATATGCCTCTTAGGCGGTTCTCGGTCCAGTAGCCTATATCTCTTTTTGCAAGGAGTTCGTCCTTGTCCCGGAGAAGAGATTGCTCAACTGATCGTTCGCGATCGACAGAAATTTCCACCTTCCGTAGTTCTGAACTTATCTGCATCTACACTAGTAAACTTATTTTGTTTTGCCGCCTTGATAACTTTTTTGAGGCGGCCAACAAGCTGGTCTTTCTCAACATCGACGGGAAAAGCATTTGCAAGTGTGTTTCCTTTGACGAAACAGAGTAACGTGATAGACATTTTCGGCTTAAATAGAATTTTTTTGTGAAATTTTATTGGCTAAACTGCTGTATATGAGGACAAAAATTTTCTATTTCTTTTGATGAGATAGAATTCGAAAACGACCAGGATAACGTAATGATACTACCGGATAAGGCTTTGATGGTAAATTATTCCATTCTAATATTTCCCGATACTTTATACCATTTACTGTAAAAGCACAAGTTCTTTTATTCATATCTAAATGAACTGTAATTCTTGCACCATCTTTGTGAAACGAGGGACAATAATTTCTTACAAAGTTATTATTATTACGAAACGCACCACCAGAACCTAATACCCATCCATTAGGTTGATTACCTGCAAAATTTTCATAATTAAAATTTTCTGATGCACATACTCCTACCCAAGAATATGTACAATATTTCTCAATAATAACATCCCATTCAAAAATACCTTTGTCTTCTATTAATATGTTAGCTCTAGCACTTTGGTGTGATTTACAATTATTTGATGCTTGTATAATTTTCCCATTATCCTCAATAACAAGATTTGATCCACATGCTGATTCATCCCAAAAAAGTTCAGATTCTTTAATTCTATAAATTGGGATTCCTCGAATATTGTTTAAATCTGAATTAATTAATTCTGAATTATGTTGAATTATTTCAGCTGGAATAATTTTTAACGGTTCAATAAAATCAAATTGGCTTTTTTTTATTCGTCTGAAATCAATATATTCGATCAAATGTTCCAATTCTTGAGCAACTTTTTGATGATCTGTAATAAATTTATTTTCTATTTGAATCAAGTTATCTATTTGCTCTAAAGTTGGTAACTTTTCCATTAGAGCCTTATATGTAACATCAGAAACATTTTTAGCTGCAAAAATAGCACTATATCGGAAAACTTCATACTCTGGTGTTGCAAAAGGTATATCATTTTCATGTGCATAAAATAAAAGATATTGAAGAGCTATAATAGATAATCGACCAATTTCAATATCAGTTAATAAAATAGTTGCTACTTCTTTGACTAATAAGTTAAGAAGAGTATTATCCTCTGATAAAGGCATAATTTCTACAACTTTAGATAATAATTCGGGCGAATAGTTTGTTGTGTAATTATTTTTTAAAAAAATTTTAATGGTTCTCATTATAAATTCCTGAAGGTCCAATAATTGAAAATAATCCGCAGCACAATAAGCTTCAATTATATTATCTTTAGTCAAAGAATTTACTTCAATTGATCCAACATAAATATATTCTAATATAATTTTCATTCCAGAAGAATTGATCGTTGGAAAAGAAATTTGTCTTTCGAAACTCTCTTTCATTCCATTATAAAGTAATCCTTCAAGTACTTCAGACCTTGCTGCTAAAATTGCTCTACAACCATATAATTTTATTTCATCCTTACATAATATTTCTATATCACTATACTTTGAATTATTTACTAGCAATTTTAAATCTTGGTTTAATGAATATCCTCTTATCATTTTTCTTTAAAAAAAAAGGAAATAATTTTTTTTTTTAAAGAGGAAGAATTTTTTTGAAGAAATTTTTTTGAAAAAAGAGGAAGGATTGTTTTTTTTTTAAAAAAAAAGGATAAAAAAAAAGGAATAAAAAGGAATAATTTTTTTAAAAAAAAAATAAAAAAAAAGAAATAAAAAAGGAAAACTAAAAAGAAATATTTTTGTTGGTTACTATATACACAGTGAAATTCGATAAACCGGATCTATCGGTTCCACTAAAAATATCCGGTTTATCGGGATATCCGGTTTAGCGAAAAAATTTCGATATATTGAAAATCTATTATATTGAATTTTTAAAAAATTTTCATGCTAATAAAACTAATATACCTGTCTCTTATACACATCTAGATGTGTATAAGAGACAGGGTCATGAAAATGAATATAAAATATTTTAATTGAATATATAAGTAATACTTAACTTCATCCGGAATTAAGATTTTTATAATTCCGGCCAAATTTAAGATTTACCGAATCACGTTACTTAAATTTTATTGGTTCCCAGTCACGTGATCCGGTTTATCGAATCATTTTTACTATAGCTGGTTAGAAAATTGATCCGTTATAGCGAATATCGAGCTTTTACTAGTGAACTCCGGTATATCGAGCCTATTTTAATATACGTGATTTGGTTCCAGCAAAAAAGTCCGGTTTAGGCCCAAATCCGGTTTATCGAATATCCGGTTTATCGAATTTCACTGTGTATTTGTACTATGTTGTACTAAACTCAGAAAACTAAGAAAAGAAAATTGTCGGTTCGGTTACATGAAATTTTAGCTGCGCCTCCGTAATGATGATAAAGTGATGTGAAATTTCGGTCACGTGTTCATCAAAATTTTACTAAATAATTCGTTGTACCACAGTACCAAATTACATTTAGAAAAAAGAACTTTACAATTTTTTAATATTAAACGACTAATTAATCGATTAAAGGCCATTGCGTTGGTTAATCGGTTTTTAACCGGCTAAAGTTTTTTTTGGTCGGTCCAACATCCAAATAAAAAGTACATCTATTTATAGAGTAATAATTTTTAACGAAAAAATAAAACTCAGTGATGTTAGTTTATTTACATTCACATATAACACTGTTTACTGTACACATTTAATATAATTAGTAAAAATGCAATCATTTTATAAATTTTTATTCGATAAAGTTTATAATTTTATATAACATGGTTTAAAAAAGTTTTGTCAGTATAGCATGTTATTGGCAGATTTCAGAAATTTGGAAATCTGGCATGGCGAGACATAAAGGTTTAGCTCACAATACTAATCATGCGTGATTTTAGTAATTATAAATTTCAAATATCTCTTCGCAATATTAATAAATGTTGCATAAGATGAAAAACAAAAAAATTTTATAACTAAATATACTATATATACCATCATTCATTTATTTTTAATTAAAAAAAAGTACACATTTTAATATATACTTATAACAATAACTCAAGACTAACTTTTTTGATGTGGTTGAATTCGAAAGCGACCAGGAGAAAATAATGATACTACTGGATAAAGCTTTGATGGTAAATTGTCCCACTCTGATACCTCCCGATACTTTTTACCGTCGATTGAAAAAGCACAAGTTCTTTTATTCATATCTAAATGAACTGTAACTTTCGTACCATCACCAAATGGTGGACAATAATTTTCTATGGATTTATTACAACAACCACTGGAACCCAATACCCATCCAGTAGATTGATATCTTGCAAATTTTTCGTAATCGAAATTTTCTGACGCACAAACTCCAACCCAAGCATATGCACAAGTTTTCTCAATAATGATATCCCATTCAAAAATACCTTTATCCTCTAATACTATTTTAGCTCTAACATTTTGATGAGAATTACAATTATTTAGTGTTTGCACAATTTTTCCATTATCCTCAATAATAAGTTTTGATCCACATGCTGATTCATCCCAAACATAGTAATCGGATTGATCAATTGATTTAATTGGTTTTCCACGAATATAATTTAAATTTGAATTATTTGATAACGCTATATATCGATAAGCATTAGAAATTATTTTATCTGGAACAATTTCTAATGGTTCAATAATATCTGCTAATATTTGAACTTTAATTCTTCTGAAATCAATAAATTTAATCAAAGGTTCTAATTCTTTGCCAACTTTTTGATGATCGGTAATGAATTTATTTTTTACTTTGATTGGACTCTCTATTTGATCTAAAGTTGGCAACAGTTTCGTAAGAATTTTATTTGCATCATTAGAAACTTGTTTTGCTGCGAGAATAGCACTATAACGAAAAACTTCATATTCTGGTGTTGCAAAAGGCTTTTCTCTTTCATGTGTACAAGATAAAAGATATTTAAGACCTGCTACAGACAATCGACCAAATTCAATATCATTTAATGACATTATTGCCATTGTTTCAACCAATAAATTAATGAGAGTATTATCTTCTGTTAATGGTAATTTTTCTGAAACTTTAGATAATAATTCCGGTGAATAATATTTTGCCAAATTAGTATCCTTAACCGTTTTTGTAATAAAATCTTGAAGGTCTGATAATCGAAAATAATCTGCAGCGTAAAAAGCTTCAACTGCATTATCTTTTGTTAAAGATTCTTCTTTAACTGATCCCGTATAAATATATTCTAAAACAATTTCCATTCCAGCGGACTTAATCTTTGGAAAAGAAATTTGATTATCGTGATTTTTTTTCATCCCATTATAAAGTAGTCTATCAAATACTTCGGACCTTGCTGCTAAAATTGCTCTACAACCGTGTAATTTCTTTTCATCTTCACATAAAATTTCTACATCACTGTACTTTGGATTATTTACTAATAATCCAAAATCTTGTTCTAATGAATACCCTCTTGTCATTTTTTCGGAATTTTTTTTTTTTTCAAAAAATAAGTAATAATAAATCTTATTTTGGATTATAATGGGCCCACCCAGTATTTATATATTCTGTACAATGTTGTACACTTGTATTATGATGTCACACCCTATGAAATAAAATATACTTAAAATGTACTTGTATACTTTAAAATAGTATTAAATATCACCGGCGGTGATTTTCACCCTTAAATTATTATTTGGTATGATATGGTGTAACTGGTATGCTTGTTTGTTTACAGATATGATATTAATAATTACCGGTATAATAATTTATTTGCTGAGATGATCATACCGTACCTGTTTTGCCGTATATATATTACTACAAGTATGGTACGAAACCAAATGTATAAAGATAGTAATAACGTAAGCCTGATTATTAATTAAAAGGGATGTTCAAATTATATCTAACTAATAGCTGGATTTGTCCATCTGAAATAATTAAAGATGACTATAAACTTAAAAGGTAATAAATATTTTAAATATTGACTTTTACATAATTTTGATGAAGCAATTAATTGAAATATTGAAAAGAATAATAATTCCAACCAATTGTACTTCAACAAAAATTGACAAATTTACTTTATTATGTAAATTTATTTATTTGATTTTACGAACTTGTACTTATTTTTTAAACATGCAAACCTTTCTATCTAAAATTCTAAATTTATAAAATTTTCCTGAAACATAATAATTATAGAATCATATTAAATATAATTTTATTTATTTGTTCATTTCTTGTTCAATTTTTTTAAGTTGCACATCTTTTAGCCTTAAGTATTGCTATTCGATTTATTTGTCAAATTTTCATAATTGTTATCAATCGTAATTCGTAACAATATTAAGCCAATAATATGATTAACATCATGCCCATTCGTACAAATTGATCGTACCTTTACACTAAATCATACCGTACCGATTTACTATATACTCTTAAATTATACTTAAAAATTTTAAGTATACTTTTAAGTGTAAATTTTTTACACTTAAAATGTATTAAAGTGTATTTAAATATATTTTAAGTATATCAAAATTATTAGTTTATTTTAAAGAATTTTTTTCGTAAGGCACATGTATATCATATGAATGCTTAGCTGCGATTTTTAATGATGGGTACGTTTTACGGGTCTACAGCCACAAAGTTATTTTTATATTCGCATAAAATGTTATCCCAAATCTTCACTGATGAATATCTTTTTTTGTTATAGTTTATATCACATATTTAGATTTAGATCCTTATGAAGGAAAGTGACATCTCTAACTGCACCTGCACAATTAATCAAAATGGTTGCTAATTTTATTGCGTATCAATCTCATTATTTTTAATTTTGATACATTTATTATATTATTAGATATTCTTAATATCCTTAATAATTAATATCCTCTCTTTTTCTATAAAACTAGAATTTTATGAAATTTCATGCAAAAAAATGCACGACTATTAGTAAAATGTTTACGAGATAAATGTTAAGATTTGTTATGCCACATTATAAAATTAGATCACATTACTTATTCGATTGAGGTACGCTAAAAAGGGGAATCTTTTCCAATTCTATATGATAGTTCAAGAAAAAAATCATGCGATACTTCAAAAAATGTCAGAAAAATAGCAATGCGATCTTTGGTTCATCTATTAAATTTGCAAAAGGCGATAATCGTTCTTGTACATTTTAAATTGCAATAATAATAAAGTCAATAATAATTCCGTCACTAAAATAAATAAAATTTTGTTTTTAAAAATGAAATTTGGCTATAACATTAAAAATTATAATCAAAAACAATCAACAATACCAATATTCTTAATTTTTCGATAACTGTTGCCTCATCATATCACAACTTTGGAAAAATGACTGATTTAAATAATTATTTGGTTTTAAATTTATTGATAATATATAATATATAAAAAAAAGTATTTAAATTATCAAACTAAGAAACGCGTAAAATATTTTACTACACTAGTCTTAGTGTTTAAATAATTTAAAATAATATTTCCAATATCGTTTGCATTATTAAAATCTTCAACTAAAAAACGAAAATTTGATTAATAAATATTTCATCAAATGAAAATTTCAATAAATACCTACTATTTATATCAGGAATACTAAAATCATACGTTTTACTACGAAATGCTGTTTTTTTAAAAAAATAAGAAAAATAGATTATAAATTATTATAATAGTTAATAAAATAACAATAAAAAAGCTAACCTACTTGTTCTTCGATAACGAGTATAATCATTTAAATTGAAAAAAAAATTAATAACGCCATCATATCTTAATCAATAAACAGTAAATAATACCTTCTGTTGCATTTTTTCGTTCAAGTAGATTTTTAATTTTGCTAGTACATGCTGAATTCTTTTTATAAACAAAAAGTCATAAAATCAGTAAACCAAAAAATATATATATTATGTTAGCAGAATAATTGGATTTCCTCATTTCTCTGTATATTATTTGAGATGAAAATTTTCTAACAAATTTATTGAAATTTCTTACACTATAATTAGTCAACAAAATAGTTAAAAAATTTTGATAAATAATGTTCCTATTTATAAAAAAATTCCGTTAAACTATATATTTTACTTTTTTTAATATTGAAACTAGATTAGATTTCGTCGCCGCCAGACTGTCTAAGATTTTTTTAAGTTACTAATAGGTTTTTTTTATGATTATTATATAACAAAGTTTTATAGATTTTTCATCAGCAATCTAAAAAAAAATTACAAAAAAAATTGTTGAACAATAATAAGTTTATTTTATTATAAAATTGATACAAAAATAATGAAAAAATCGGAAAAAATTGGAAAGAGTCATGTTGGTTATTTAAATAAAATCTGGTAAAATCGGTAAAATCCGTCTAAAATCCACCTAAAACTGAGTAAAATTCGGGATAAAATTGCTATTAGTTAACAATAATAGTCTGTCTGAACTATCATAATGCTTGATCCATTACAACCATTCATTTCGAGAGCTAAATATCTATCCAAGTTTTTATTTAGTAAAACAATTCATTAGTAATTAATAATAAATTAGTTAATTCAATAAACCATAATTTCGTTATTCTGATCCAAGTTCTTATTTAGCAATAAATAAATAATAATTACGTCACTTACTAAAATAATGCAGTATAAGATTCTTCCCGTTCAATCGGTATCTTCCGTTCCAAAGCTTCAGATCCAAACCTAAAATGGCGAATAAGGAAAAGGAGGGTATCAATTGATTAAAGTGAATAAACAGAACATTTGTCACCTACCCGTATTATTCCATTTCGATCGGTACCTTCTATTCTGAAGCTTCAAGTCCGAACCTAAAATAGCAATGAAGAAAAAAAAAATGGGTCAATTAGTAATATTCGAAATGGAGAAAAAAAAAATTAATTATTAGACGGAACATTTGTTACCTAGTACCCATATTGTTCCATTTCGATCAGTACCTTCTGTTCTGAAGCTTCAAGTCCGAACCTGCCTAAAATAGCAATGAAGAAAAGAAATGGGTCGATTAGTAATATTCGAAATTGAGCCAAAAAAAAATTATTAAACGGAACATTGGTAGTCTACCCTTATTGTTTCCATTTCAATCAGACCAGGACATCACTGCTACTAGTATTTTTTTAGGATAGAATAATATAGTTATTTTTTAGATAGGTCATATCGCGGGACGCGATACTTTATTGTATGTATAGATGTATATTTTCATATGTCTACATTGTTAATGGTTATATATGCCGTTGAAATTAGAGAATTTAAAAGACTGTGTAAGAGATCAGCATTAATACTTAAAAAAAATGTAATATTTATACGTTAGTTTATTGTATTCAGAGTAATATTCATGTGTAAAATACATATTAATGAAAATTATATGTCATTTTATTAATAAATTTGTGATGTTTATTATTTTTCATCTTCAACATTTACGATATGTTGCTCTCCGTGACTACCTTGTTGAAATTGAGTAAAAGTACTAAAAATTTTCGATATGTGATCAATTTTCTAATAAATTTTTTATAGGTCTCCTTTTCTTGTTGCCCAATTTCTGTACGCATAAGCCAATTCAAGATGAGCAGTGACAATGTGCTTCTGTCATTGCAGGTTCCGACTGTTCATAATTAAAATTCTGATGAACATACTCCAACCCAAGCATAATAACATCCCATTCAAAAATGCTTTTACCTTCTAGTATCATTTTCGTCCTAACATTATGCCATAGTAAATAATAATTAAGGTTATTTAGAGCATAGTATACAATTTTTCAATAATCCTCGAATATAATTTATGCTGGAATTACTTGACCTTACTTTTTGCCGATAAACATTTAAAATTATGGGTCAATGATGTCAATGATGTCGGTCAAAACTTGTCCCTCAATTCTTCGGAAATCAATAAATTTAACTAAAGGCCCTAATTCTTTAGCAACTAACTTTATGGTGATAGGTAATAAATTTATTTTCATTTTATACAGTGTGTTGGATTTTCTATTGGTTTTATTTTTTCTAAGGTTTGTAGCCGTTCATAAGGGCATTATGTGCATCATTAGAAACTTGTTTTGCTACAAGGATAACACAATATCAAAAAACGTCATATTCTGGAGTACAATAAATATTTTTTTATTACTTGTAATATTAGCACTTGAATATTTTACATTTCGTAACGTAAAATAATAATCAAATAAATGATTTGCTGTAAATTATTTTTTATTGTAAAATACTAATGTGTTGTTACAGAATTACTTTTACACATAATATTTTATAATAATTTAAATTATCTTTATTTAATAATTGAAAAGTCCTACAAAAAAAAATAGAGGATTGAATTATTTAAATTACAAACTAAGAATCTTTTTTTTACTACTCTAATCTTAGTGTTTAAATAATTTCAAAATAAGATAATAAATTTTAAAAATGAATTTGTTTTCAAATTAATTAAAAATTTAATTTAAAATCCGTCTAAAGAAATAATTACATTAGTAAATAAATATATTTTATTTTTTAAAATTTTATTAAAAAAATATTTAAATTATAAACAAACCATTGGGAGTTTTATCTTTTTCTTCTGAATGAAGATTTGGATTATCTTGTACTTCATCTATTATATAAATAATATAAATTAGAATAATAATACTCGATCATTATTATAAATAATAATTTATTTTACTTACCATTAATACTAATATTTGATCGTTGTTGCATTGTTTCTCTCTCATAATCATTTTGTTCTTCTACTATTATAAAATAAATCAAAATTTAATAAAATATTCATTCTTATCTTCAATGAAAATTAGAATTAAATATTTAAGGCTTTTACCATTCTCCATTTTCAATTTTTTAAATAATCTGGATGATTCTTTACTATCATTATCTATAGTAATTAAGATATAAATTAGTATTTATTTATTATAAAACTTTAATATAAAAATAAATTAGTACCTTTAAAATTAATTCTACTTGATTTACTAGGATTACTAGCTATAATGAAAATCAATCAATATGATATTTTACTTATATAAAAATTAATAGATACTTACTATTATCAGAAAGACTAAAATCATATGATCTACTGATATAAAATGCTATTGAAAAAAAAGGTTATCTCAATTTATTTATTAATTAAAGAATTTTTACAATAACATTATTAAATTTACTATATTACCTTTTTGTTCTTCTATTATTATTTAATCAAAAAAAAGTGTATCATTAATTATAATATTAAAGAAAAAAAAATTAAATAGTTAATAAACATTAAAAAAGCATACCTTCTGTTGCATTTTTTGGTTCAGGTAGATTTTCAAATTTATGAACCTTACTTGTAAATGGTTTACTACTTAAAATATTGCTTGTTTTTTTATCTAACTTTGTTATTAATTGAGGTAATTCATTTGAATTATTTTGATAATATGATTTAATTTCATTAATTTTTTTATTAAGTGTCTTAGCATCAGGTCTTTTTAGTGGGTTAGCATCCCAACATTGCTCCATTAAACTTTTATATTTCAAAGGAATTTCTGATAAAATTTTTGGTCTTATACCATCAATGATATTAATTGCAAGAATATAATCATGTTCATAATTCATAAATGGAGGATGTCCAAATGAAATTTCCCACATGAGCATTGCAATACTATAAATATCAGATCTAAAAGTATAACCTTTTCCGTTAATAACTTCAGGAGCAATATAAGGAAGATTTCCATATATACTTGTTGATGGATTGTCTGCAGGACCACAAAATCCAAGATCACTAATCCGCCAACCATCATTAAACTATGAATATAATATATTTCCAGAATGCAAATCTCTATGAATTGAATTCTCTTTATGAATAAAATAAAGTATATTAATAAATAAAAAAGTAATTTAAATTCTATCATTCCATGTAAGTTGATTATGATTTTGTTGTAAATATTCTCTTAAATTCATATTAAACTTCAACATTACAAGTAAATAATTTCCATTTGATGGATTTTGTGTTAAACCAAAACATTGAACAATAGATGTAAGTTTGTTGCTTAAAGTTAAATGTGATTTAGCCTTAAAAATAAAAAATTAAATAATAAAAAAAAAAATTATAAATTTAAAGTTCTTTAAATATTTTTAACTTACAAACCTCTTCAAACCAACTTTGACTTGCATTTTCAACATTTTTTAATTCTTTAAGTATTACTGTAAAAGTTTTAGATCTTTTTAATTGCTTTTCCTTAGAATTCCATTCTTTATATCTTCCATCAATCCACTTAGCTGTATAAATCTCTGAGAATCCACCTTTTGTCAGATATTTAATATTTTCTAAATTATTATATGGAATCCATTCAATAATAATATTTGGCACAAGTGTTTCCATTTGACAATTTTTTATTAAATTATCAATAACATTATTTCCAGAAGTCCAATTTGAAAAATTATATTTTAAATAATTTCGAACACAATATTCACAATATAATGTAGCTAAACACTTTTGGTTACAATTTTCACAAACCCTTCTTGTTCCATTATTATTTTTAATTTTATTTCGGTCATGATCTTTATTAATTATTCTTATTGCTTCAGTTTTTTCTTCTTCTGTAAGAGAATTATCAGCAAGAACGAATTTTTTATAAAATTCGGTTTGTTCATGAAAGTTAACGTAAATATTATATTCAATTAATGTAAATGCTCTACTAAGTACTGCTTGTATTAATTTTTTCCGAATATTAGACATTTTTGCAAAAAAAAACAAATTATTTTTAATGCAAAAAAAAAAAAAAAAAAAATTCTCCATAGACGGTTAAACAAATAAGTTGTGCAACCACCAAAATTTCTACATTGTAAACAAATGATGATCATCTGATCACACAATATAGACAAAAAAAAATGATGTAAAAACTACAAAGGTACAAATGACGTTAAAGTTATTTTCCGCAAATTTAATTTTGAAGATGTTTTGGAAAGAAACCAATTTTAACAATCATCATAGAACTCAAAAAAATGGAAACACCTTTAAATTCATAGTAAAATAAAATTTCGATTGCCGTACTTGTAATGATGATTGGTCTTTTATTGAAAATTATTGTTTAAATGAGCCAATTTGAAGATTCGAATGAAAAAGCGAAAATCAAAAATTCAATTTTGATTATAAAGTTTTATTTGCATATAAATATTTCGAAATTATAATACAATAACATATTTTTTAGGCAAAATTTATTGCCTTTTTCATGACATAATGAACTTGTAAAAATTAAAATTCAACTAATTTTCTTTACTCAATGAAACTTTTTTTTAAAAAAGAATTCAGAGATTATTTTTAATAATTTTTTATTGTAGGAAAAAAAAATTATTATAGTTGGAGACAAATATTTAATAGTATAAGACAATAATACATGGGTATATCTGGATGACATTAATGATGGCCATATCTATTCGATGAGCGACTCTATAAAATGATCCTTATTTCAAACTCTAATTTTCCGATACTCACTTTCTATTTACTTTTTAATGCAAGAAAAATCCCCATTTTCGTAAAATTCTTGAAGAATATCCTGATAGTTCATGAGTAAAATACCGAGCAAATATAAAACAATAGATATTATTATTAACAAATAACAATCACATTATTGAAGGATCAATATGATAGGTTGTATAGTAGGTAAAAATTATTTAATCATTGATGAATTTTTAACAACTTACAATATTCTAGTAATACTATTTGTTTATTTAATTTAGTAATGAAAGTTGGATTCAATTCAATTCATCATATTTATATCTTTATTAAGACAAAAGGCTTTTGCTGATTAATTATTATCATAATATATTATTTTGTAACATAACCTATTATTATCTTTAAACGAAAAGTGAGCCAAAAATAATCCGTCATTCCCTTTAAACGAAAATTTTTTTTTAAATCATATTAGTAAGTGTAAGAGCGATACTAAATTTATATCTATTACTAACAATTTCAATTGAATTAGTAATTGTCTAATTTCAGAATTCTTCATAACTAAGATTAACTTTTACTGCCTCAACATTTTCTTCCAGATGTTTAATTTTTCCTGTGCCGAGAATAACAATCACATTATCTCCCCGTAAAAAGTATATAAAATAGAGCGGCCTTAACCGGATACAATCCGGGTATACTGGACAAACGGGTAAAAAGGGGTAATACTCGTTTTGTATCCGTTTTATGTTGACACATAAATACCCTCGGATATGCTCCATAAATTTTGCCAGAATTAAGATGTTAACTCTGGCCAGAATTTTAATGCCGGCCAGAATTAATGTTTATATATTATGAATGTCACTTGGTGATCGTTACTAGTCGCCACGACGGAATAATTTATGACCTAAAGAGATTCTTTATTAATTCTGGCTAAAATATAATTTTTGGCCAGAAATAGGTGGTGTTGATGGTCACTACTGGTGAGTTTAGCAATACTTCTAAAAAACTTCTTATATTTGATAAATATCTTGGTTTGAGGTTTTTATCCGGGTAATACCAGGGTCATATCTAACAAAAAGATAAACGGGTATAACGAGCAAAACCCGTTTTGGAGTCTTCTAACACATTTTTTGATTTGGGTATGATGCGATTATCTAAGGTATTTAAACCGTTAAGTAATATGATTCTAAACATTAACTAATTGTTCTTCAAATGATATTTATTTATTAATTATTTAAAAGTATTGACAGTCAAAATGATCATAAAAAAGAAATAATGCGACAAACGAAAGAATCAGTTAATGTTGAGTAAAATATTTGCCATAAATTTTTAATTTTGCAATTTTTAAACTAAATATTTTTGTCCTCTTATGGATGATGACGAAATATATAATAACCCAAAACCTTCATTCAGAAGACCAGGAAGAATTGGTGATTCCTTATGGTTAGTTTTCTTTAATATTTTTCTTAATATTGTTTAAATAACCTTAATTATTAATTCGTATTATTTATATGTATTCTTTTTTAAATTATATTTATAAGTAAATTATTTAAACACTAAGGTTAAGAATAGTAAAATATTTACGTGGTTTCTTAGTTTGTAATTTAAATAATTTTTTTTTATATATTATATCTTATCAATAGATCTAAAATCAATATCTTTATATATATGTTAAAACAAACCGATAAGAAATATCATGTAAAGATTAAAACAAGAAGATTCCAGAAAAAATAAAAATATTAATAATAATTTTATTTTTTGTATACAATCTGGTGATTATTGATTTGTGCGATTAAAAGATCAGAATCAGGAGATATTATCAAGAAAACATGGATTAGTACGTAACTTTGAATGATTATAAAAATTTTAACATTTAGTTTATATTAATTGATTGAAGAATTTCTTATCTTTAGGATATACGTACAGTATTGACCAAATTTTATCAACGTCAGAATTGCTCAACGTACAACAGTATAAAAATCACAAATAAAATTTTAATCGTACATGGATGTATTTGTACAATTAGAACACATACTTTTCAACAACTAACAGATCTGGTTAAGTGGCATTAGTAACTTTCATTTTCTAAATTAGATCAGGAAATCTTATGGTTTAAAAATATATATATATTTAATATTTAGATATATACAGTAGTTAAAAGGAATTATTGCTTATAGTTACTATTCAAAACTTTGGAAGTTATCAGACATTCTATATGGTGATGGTTAGTTGGACATAGATCACCACACCACATATTATCACATAATTCATAAAAATTGACATAACTCGAATTTCGTTACTGGTACCATTCTTTAACTAGTATATAAATACAAATAATAAATAACATAAAATTCGTATTAAATATTTTCATTTTTTTGATGAGATTGAATTCGAAAACGACCAGGATAACATAATGATACTACCGGATAAAGTTTTGATGGTAAATTATTCCATTCTAATACTTCAAGATACTTTGTACCATTGACTGTAAAAGCGCAAGTTCTTTCATTCATATCTAAATGAACAGTAATTTTTGCACCATCTTCGTGAAATGACGGACAATAATAAAATCCACTAACTGAACTACAATTACCACCGGAACCCAATACCCAACCAGTAGCTTGAGATCCTGCAAAGGATTCGTAATAAAAGTCATCAGTTGCACATACTCCAACCCAAGACCATGAACAATTCTTCTCAATAATAATATCCCATTCAAAAATGCCCTTATTTTCAAATGCTATTGTACCTCTCACACTTTGGTGGTTAATAAAGCGAGACGCTTGTACAACTTTTCCATTATTCTCGATAATAAGACCTGATCCACATGCTGACTTATCCCAAAAAAGTTCAGATTCTTTAATTCTATAAATTGGTATTCCTCGAATATTATCTAAATCTGAATTAATTAATTCTGAATTGTGTTGAATTATTTCAGCTGGAATAATTTTTAACGGTTCAATGAAATCAAATTGACTTCTTTTGATTCGTCTGAAATCAATATATTCGATCAAAGATTCCAATTCTTTAGCAACTTTTTGATGATCTGTAATAAGTTTATTTTCTATTTGAATCAAGTTATCAATTTGCTCTAAAGTTGGTAATTTTTCCATTAGAGTTTTATATGTTACATCAGAAACATTTTTAGCTGCAAAAATAGCACTATATCGAAAAACTTCATACTCTGGTGTTGCAAAAGGTATATCTTTTTCATTTGTATAAAATAAAAGATATTGAAGAGCTGTAATAGATAATCGACCAATTTCAATATCAGATAATAAAATAGTTGCTATTTCTTTGATTAATAAGTTAAGAAGAGTATTATCCTCTGATAAAGGCATAATTTCTACAACTTTAGATAATAATTCTGGTGAATAATTTTTCGTGAAATTATTTTTAAAAAAATTTTTAATGGTTTTCATTATAAATTCCTGTAGGTCCAATAATTGAAAATAATCTGCAGCATAATAAGCTTCAATTATATTATCTTTAGTCAAAGAATTTATTTTAATTGACCCAACATAAATATATTCTAATATAATTATCATTCCAGAAGAATTGATCGTTGGAAAAGAAATTTGTCTTTCGAAACTCTCCTTCATCCCATTATAAAGTAGTCCTTCAAGTACTTCAGACCTTGATGCTAAAATTGCTCTACAACCATATAATTTTGTTTCATCCTTACATAATATTTCTATATCACTATACTTTGGATTATTTACTAGCAATTTTAAATCTTGACTTAATGAATATCCTCTTACCATTTTTTTAAAAAAAAAAAAAAAAAATTTCAAAAAAAAAGAGTATTCTGTTTTCCAAATATTTATATCTGTACTATGTTGCACTAAATCACTAAACTTAAAAAATATATTTCTGTACATCATTACATCATTGAAATTTTAAGCTGCGCCTTTACAATGATAAACTTCAAGATAAATTTCATAGCTAAAACAACAACGAACGAACAAAATTTTTTTGCGTTAGTTTATTTAACAATTTAAATAAGGCTCCAATAAGTTTAATCATGGAACTACTGTAAACCCAAAGAAAAATCACTTTTATATCCATTAAAAGTGTGAAATTACAATTCATTTTTCTATTATAATTAAAAAAATATAAGCCTTTAAATACTAAATACATATAAAAGTTACGGGGAATGAACTTTTTTTATGTAAATAAGTTATAATAGTAAAATATTAAATTTCATGCTTTAGCGAATAAAGAATTATCATCCTTTTTTAAGAAATTTATATCACGGAGTTGAAATAAAGATTTCAATATCAAATTATCATAACTAAAAATTTCTGTTCATACCATACTGAATTATGAGCATAATATAATTCTGATAAGGTAATATTTGTGTAATTCTTTCTAGCGCGTTTGTAACTATCCATTTGATTTTGATTTAATAACTTTCTTTCATTTAATTACAGAGTACTAGTCAACTAAATACTTTTGCTAATATTATTCTATGACTCAAATTTACTTTCGTATTCACATAAAATTCTACATCGCTATGTTTATTAGTAATTTAAAATCTTGTTCTAATGGACATCTTTATTCAGAATCTTTTTAAATTGTTTATTATAGTGTATATCACACATTTATATCTTCACAATTATTTGCTGGAGAATAGGTCATTAAAATTCAACTATAGATGCCGTCGGAATTGCCGAATTGAAATTACGGCATTACGAAATATGAATTTTACCATTTAAACATTTAACAAATCATCAAGATCAGCATTATATTACAAATTATCTATGGCATAATCAAAAAAAATATTACTTTCTTTGTGTAATTATTGTATATATGGCATTAAATAATTACGCTATTACGGCGATTTAATATATCACGGTATAAGCTTCATATACCGTAATTAATTCTGACGGTAAGTATAAATTTGAATTCACCTCATAATTTAACTTTTTCGACTGGATAAGATCCGCTCTCTATTAATTTTCTATATCACATATACAGCATAATTTAGACCTTGATTATAACAATTGTAAGCTGTAATTAGATTCTTGTCACCATCTGATGTCGATTTTTTCTTTTTTAAAATAAAATTATTTGTTATGCATGATTTATCAGATAATTAAGTCTATATATTTCGATACATTTATCATATTTATTAAACAGTTTCTTTTATCTTTAACAAAAACTGGGGTTACTTAATAGAAAATGTAGTTCGATACAATTCTTCTATGTCACGTAGTATTAATAATATAAATTTGATTTACGAGAATATAGAAATATTTTAATTATTAAAATTAAATTTACATATAAATAAAGTCAAACATCCATGGTAGTAGGTGAAGTTGGACATGTTAAATAATCACAAAATTTACAAAATTGAAACTAAATCCTATGGAGTTAAACTTACCAACTTTCAAAACATGTCCTAAATAAATATTATATTAAACAAAAACTTACAAAAATTGTAACTTGTATAGTTAATTCATGTCCAGCTTCTGTCACTCACATGTGCTATAAAATTTATGCTAAACATTCTAATTTTTTTAATGAGGCTGAATTCGGCAACGACTACGATAACCCAATGATACTACTGGATGAAGCTTTGATGGTAAATTGTTCCATTCTGATACTTCCCGATATTTTGTATCATTGACCGTAAAAGAACAAGTTCTTTTATCCATATCTAAATGAACTGTAATTCTTGCACCATCTTCGTGAAACGGGGGACAATAATTTTCTAGGCTACTAATTCCAGAATTGCGACAATAACCATTAGAACCCAATACCCATCCGGTAAATTGCCTTCCTGCAGGATTTTCATAATCAAAGTTTACTGATGAACATACTCCAACCCATACACCTTTACAATCTTTCTCAATAATAACATCCCATTCAAAAATACCATTATTTTCTAATACCTTTTTACCTCTAACACTATGATGTAGACCTTTATTAATTAAAGATCGTACAATTATTCCATTATCCTCAATAATAAGTTTTGATCCAGATGCTGATTTGTCCCATACATAATCTGATTCATTAATTGATATTCCACGAGTATTGCTTAAATGTGAATTATTTAATAAAGCTATATTCCGATAAACACTGAGAATAATTTCGGCTGGAATAATTTCTAATGGTTCAATAATATTAGCTATTATTTGCGCTTTAATCCTTCTGAAATCCATAAATTTAATCAAAGTCTTCAATTCTTCGGCGATTTTTTGTATATCAGCAATAAATTTATTTTCTACTTTGATTGGATTATCTACTTGTCCTAAAGTTGGTAGCCGTTCTATAAATGTTTTATAAGCATCATTAGAGACTTGTTTTGCTGCTAGAATTACACTATACCGAAAAACTTCATATTCCGAGGTTGCGAAAAGCTTTTCTTTTTCATGTGTAATAGACAAGAGATATTTAAGACCTGCAATAGACAATCGATCAAATTCAATATTATTTAATGGCATAATTGCCACTGCTTCAACCAATAAATTAAGAAGAATATTATCTTCTGTTAATGGCATGATTTCTGCAACCTTAGATAATAATTCTGGCGAATAATTTTTTGCGTAATTTCTTGCTAGCGTATTTTTAAGGGTTTTTATAATTAATTCTTGAAGACTTTGTATTTGAAAATAATCTGCGGCATAATAAGCTTCAACTATATTTTCTTTAGTCAAAGAATCTTCTCTAAGTGATCCAACATAAATATATTCTAATAAAATTTTCATTCCAGAAGAATCGATCGCAGGAAAAGAGATTTTTCCTTCAAAACTCTCTTTCATCCCATTATAAAGTAGTCCTTCAAGTACTTCAGATCTTGCCGCTAAAATTGCTCTACAACCATATAATTTTTTTTCATCCTTACATAATATTTCTATATCACTATACTTTGGATTATTTACTAACAATTTTAAATCTTGTAATGAATATCCTCTCGCCATTTTTTCTGTAATAAGAAGAATAAACGATTAATAATAATTCCATTTCAAGAAATTTAAATAATAAAAAAACTTTAAAATTTGTTTTTTTTTTTTTTTTTTAGAAACGGAAGAATATTTAAATGAATCTTCTATTTTTGGATTGAAATACTAAACTTATATATTTTGTACTATGTTGTACTAAACTCTGTAAAAACTAAAAAGGAATGTTCTTAGCTGTGCCTCAATAGTGATTTACGATAACATATTCAAATGTAATAAATGTAATAAATCATTTGAAAATAATAATTAAAAAATTAGTTATTATTGTATTAAAAGCAGGATTTATTTCTTTTTATAAAATTTAAAATAAACGATTATATATTAATATGGGTAATTTTTTAAGAGACATTAACGAACTTATATGTAAGTGTTATAAATTTTTGATTACATTATATTACATTATAATATATAGTTTAACGATAAAAATTTGTCATGATCTATTATTTGTAAATTTAATCAAAGGGTGATTAAATGCAAATCTATTGAATCGACTTCTCGTCGTCGAAAACAGTAAATCAATAAATTATTACACGAGCATCAAAATATTATTAAAAAGAAAACATACTGCATAAAATAATTTCAATTAATTTTATTGAGTTGCATTACATTACGTGAGTAGTATCTGGATATTAATTTTCAATTAAGAAAAAGACACGTTTTGCATAGGAAATTAAGAAATAATTAATTCTAATTTAAATATCTATATAATTTATTTATGGAGCTGGAATACGTAAAAGGGCGTTTGGAGAACCCTTTTTAAGACCAGTAATAACTCCTTTCGTTGATAATTTAATAAGAACTTCTGTTAATGCAGCTGGTGGTTTATTACCACTCTTGGAAATTAAAAGAGCTAATGTACCAGCAACAAGTGGAGAAGAAAAAGAGGTACCAGAAGATACTCTATATGAATCATTATCGCCAATACCAGCACCTAAAACATTACGACCTGGAGCAAAAATGTCAACACATTTTCCAATGTTTGAGAAATCTGTGACTGCATCACTTGTTCCTTCGGTAGCACCTGATGTAATGGCTGAAGGTGCAGATGCAGGTGATATTTTACATGCATCATCAGAAAATGCATTTCCAGCAGAAACAGCCATGTGAATACCAGCATCAGTAATTTCTTTGACAACATGATTTAAAGCTCGTGATACAGAATCTGTTCCAAGAGACATGTTAACAACTGAATTCTTGTTTTTACCATTTTTGTGTTGTTTAATTATAAAGCATAAACCTTCAATCATATTGGCAGTTGAACCTTCACCTTCAGCATCTAAAACTCTAACATCAATAATATTGGCTTTTCTTGCTACTCCTACACTGTTTCCAGCAGCAACACTAGCAACAAAAGTACCATGATGATATATAACATTTCTTGTGCAATTTCCACAGAAAGAACGTCCAAATTTGGCACGACCATTAAATTGTTCATGTGTAAGTAAAATACCACTGTCAACGATGAAAATATTTACACCTTTTCCAGCTGAATCAGGGTAAATAAATTTTCCGTCCAGCGGACGTTTAGCTTGATCAATACGATCAAGGTTCGGTCCTACTTCATCGTCTTCTGCACGTTTATTTATAAAATAACGTTTACTAAAACGTTGAGGAACATCTACTTTAACTTTTCTTTCCTCTTCAATAAGTTTAACATTTTTCATATTTCCAACTGCTTTTGCAAATTCAGGTGTAAAATATGAGGTATATCCTTGTATAGATCCATCAACAGAAAAATCCCTAATAGCACTTTGATCAAACACAGTACTATCATTACTTTCATCAGCTTTAATGATACTTTGAACACGTGTTTTATAGCATTCTTTCATCATTTCATAATGATCTTCGGCAGCATTCTTAACTTCTTTATCAAAAATAACAATAAACCTCTTTTTTTCGGTGGTATTATCTTCGACTTGAATTGAAGGACATTCTCTTTGAGCTGAGACTTTGAGAGCAACTAGCACAACGATAGAAAATATTTTAATGAAGCTTGAAGCAACCATGTTTTATTATTTCTATTATTATATTCGAGTAATAGGTTTTATATAGGGCAACAATTTCGTATAAAAGAAAAATTGTGCTAGAAATTGGGAAAAGAGAAGAATGGCATTAAAGTAAAGTGTAGGATTTTTTTTTTTTTTTTGCTTTCTGTCTTTATATATATGTAAAAATTTTTTATAAAAATCTACTTAGTAAAAAAACGATCATCTTCACGTTTACATAAAAAAAAAGCAAAAAAGAGAAATTAATTATTTTGTACATCATTTTACTAAATATAGAATATTTAAAAATAAAGAAAAATTAGATACGCTTTTTAAAAATACAAACTTTACTATCCCTTAAAAGTTGATCAATTAAGAAATAATTTTGGATACATTATAAGACAATAATATATATAATCAGCAAAAATGTTGATCGATGTTTTTTTATTTTGTATTCACTACGAATTTTGATAAGTATTCATTGCTAAACGCAAATGAAAGAATGTGAATTAATTCCTATTTATGGAAATTGAGCGTTTATACCTACATATGTAAACGTGCTTTGAATATCGATTTATCGCAATTTTCGAATTACTGAAAACAGTTTAAATAGGAAAATAAAATAAAAAAAATGATTTTTTTAGTAAATTTTATTGTATTTTTGGAAGGAGAAGGTGCGATTATAACATGAAACCCTTGATTTTAGGATGAAAAATCCAACTCTTAGGTAAGTTTACTTATAGAGAACTTTTTAGGTTACACAAAATCTCAAAAGTCGCTTATATGCAAACATACCGAAAAATTAAGTAAAATTAACATTTTCAGGTTATAATCGCACCTTCTCTATCTAAAAATGCAATAAAATTTACTGTTTTCGTGGGTTTTTGAAAAAAAACATTTTTTTTTATTTTATTTTCCTCTTTAAACTGTTCTCAGTAATTCGAAAATTGCGATAATACTATTTCGTAAAAATACAATTATATGACAGAAGGGAAGGGGTTCATCGACAAATTATTTATGGTTTTCGTAAATTTACTTCGTTCAATTAATTACTTTACTAACATTGTTCTTTATAAATTTTCTATATGGCTAATTGCTCTAATGACAAGTTTTTTTTATTGTAAAAAAAAATGTATTGTTTTATTTACTATATAGTGTATATCACACATTTAGGTCACTACGAAAGAAAGAAATAACAAATAAATCATTGAATTTAGTCTCATAATTTGACTTTCAACTGGGTGAGATTAGATCTACTCTCCAACATCATAATTTATGAAATGCAACTCAAAAATATACTTTAATGACAGTCTACTTTTCCAAGAAAGTTGCTAATTTACTTCTTAAAATTTAAATTTTTAGATTATTATATCAATCTTTCTGAAAGCAAGATGCTTATTATGCATGATTTAGATACATTTATTAAATTAATTATTTTATTTTTATCATTTAATAGAGAATGAGATTCGATTATTTTGATACAATTCTTTCTATATATCATGTAATAATAAATGATGTTACGAGAAAATAAAATAGATAATTCATAGTTTATTCAAAAAAAAATATAGATATATAATAAAATCATAAAATTTGTTAATTTTTTTTGATGAGTTTGAATTCGAATACAACCAGATCGATATAATGATACTACTGGATAAAGTTTAAATGGTAAATTATTCCAAGCTTCTGGATATTTTGTACCATCACCAAATGAAGGACAGTAATTCATTACTCCTTTTAACAATGTCCTATAGAACTTAATACCCATCCAATAGGTTGTTTTGCTGCATGTTTTTCATAATTAAAATATTTTGACGCCCTATAAGTTCGTGCCCTTCCCCATGCCATCTTCCATTCCCGATTTGTAAATCACGTTTATCATTTCATTTTCGTTATTAAAGTATATTAAGATATATCCACATTCAAAAATACCCTTATTCTCTAATGCTATTTCAGTTCTAACACTTTGGTGTGAATAATTATTCAATGCTCGTACAATTTTTCAATAAAAAGATTTGGTCTACGTGCTCGTGACGTTAACAATATAAAATATCCATAAATTATTACATAATTTATAATATTTAAATTTTAAATACCATAATTTAATTAATAAATGTTAAATCCTGTAGAATTCTTTTGCCACGTTTGCATTATCCCTTCATTCTTACCATACATACTTCTCTTCTTATTTTCCTTGAACGTTCCCTACAAATTTTAAAGAATTAAAAGAGATTAGTTACAAAATAACTAAGTAAGACTCCGTTCAGGCTGTAACCTTGGATGCAATTGGGAAGAAACTAGCCCGATCGTGAACCCTGCAGTGCGCACCATCCCTTCATACTTACCATACATGGTGTCTTCGTTATCTTCTCCAATATTTCCTTAAGCGTGTCCTACAAATTTTAAAGAATTAAAAAAGAGATTAGCTACAAAATAACTAAGCAAGACTCCGTTCAGGCTGTAACCTTGGATGCAATTGGGAAGAAACTAGCCCGATCGTGAACCCTGCAGTGCGCACCATCCCTTTGTACTTACCATACATAGTGGCTTCTCTATATGTTCGATAACCCTTGCCCGCATTTGAATATCATATTTTGCTTGACTTAAAAATGATTTCTTATTATGATGTCTGCTGGTCATTGTATTTTTTTTAATAAATTTAATTACGTTTGAAAAAAAATAAGTTTAATTACATTTGAAAAAAATTTGAAAGTAATAAGTTTAATTACGTTTAAAAAAAATATTTGAAAGTAATAAGTTTAATTACGTTTGAAAAAAATAATATATTTGAAAGTAATAAGTTTAATTACGTTTGAAAAAAATTTGAAAGTTTGAGAAGGTTTAAGGGTATATATATACTTGTAAAATCTTTTGAATACATAGTGACTAATAACATTTGATCAGTAACTTATTATGATTCATAAAAAAAATTAAGATCATGTATGAGTCACATTTATTACATCAATTAATTTATAAGTTATTTAACCTAAAACTAAGAAATATAAATAGCCTAATAATGACTAATATAATGTATAATTGTGGCTTATAATACATATGATTTTATGATATTGTGTAATTAATATATTAATTATACAATGATACTATATATTATTTGACTAATATTTTATATTGCTTGACAAACATCTAAACAGCAATTATAATTATATCAATTTATTGATTTTATAAAATCTATTATCTTTAGTCTTATTGTATTATAACTAACAAATTAACAGTAGTTTTAAAATGAGGTATATTATGTAACAAAGAAAAAACGTCAGATATAGAATTTGTACATAAATTTTTTAATAGACATTCTTTATTCTTTAATAATGTATTTATTAGGCCTTAATAATAAATTTATTAAAATAAATAATTTATATTATTATGGTTTGATTGTTGTCGGTCATGTGTACGTTCTGATGACCAATCCTATCATTTTTTTAGGTTTTTTATTTAGAAAAAATAATACTTTCAATCCTATTCTACCAATATTTAAATATTACACTATGTTGTACCAGAGTGCATCACATATACATTATATGAATGATGACAAAGCACATTTAAAACTTGGCCACATAAGTTTATTCATGCAAAAAACTTCGATTTTAACATGATTTTTTCGTGCTAGAACAATAATATTTCCGTCTTTAGAAGTAACAATTGTATTCTGTAATTATAAAAGAACTAACTCTTTTCTTTATAACTATTATTAAAAAGTGTAATTATAATTCATTATGGCATTTTCCCATTTTTGTAAAATCAATACAACCGTTCAAACCACTAAATACACTTAAAAGTTTGGGTGAACGAACCTTGTCTATAAATTAATAATATTATGAAATGTTGCAGTGAACTTTATGCATATCAAGTAGAATTACGGCCATTAAATATAAAGAATTAGCCTTTTCTATACAATGTCAATATAAATTTTGTTCATAAGTAAAAATTCTGCTGTCATTATAGTATAATAACATAATTACCGTACGGTTCCGAAATTAAGCAACCCCCCAAAATAAGCAACCCTGGCCCGCATTAAGCCGATTTCGGCCGGAACTATGAGGACTTTGGCCAGAATTAAGTGCAAAAAATGGTTGCGTAATTTCGGAACCGTACGGTATACAGTATATATATATATATATATATATATATATATTCCACAAATTAAATAAAAGCCAAATTTTAAAACTAAAAATAATTGAATAATCTGCAGCATTATGACACGAATGATTCGACAAATGATCACATCATTTGAGATTAATCATGTGATAAAATCAAACGACTGAAATGACAAAATAAAATAACAAATGATTATAAATAATGACAAGTGATTAAGAAAATCAAGTGACTTTGAATAACCAGTTATTCGAGGTCATTTGTCATTTGAGTCATAGTAATGTCTTAGCCAGAATTAACCCAGTCATTTGATGTCATTTAGATCACTTGCCATCACCCGTCTCGCTCAAAGATTTAAGATTTTTAAAGTTGAATCGGTGTAATGAATTAAAGTGTATGATTTTGCCTATGTATGAATATTTGAATAATCATTTTTTATGACTATAATCCATATTCCGTCTATCATAAAGTAGCTAACTAATATATTGCCAAAATTGCAAAAAAAAAGTTGAAAAAATATATTTATTAGAATAAGATTTCTAATAAATATACTGTAGTGATATAAATCATATACAGTATATGTGAGAATGAAATCTAATGACTTATCTAATATATATTACAAATTTAGATCCATACGAAAAAAAAGAAATATCTAGCTGCGTATTCACAATTATTGTTGAAAATAAATTATTTAATAAACCCAAACCCAAAGTTGCATGAGCACTATTGAATTCAGCCTCATAATTTAGTTCAATTGGATGAGATTATCCCTCATTAATTTCCTGCATTATATAAAAATAATTTAGATAGTCTAAAATGGATTTTTTTAAGATGGCCTTCTTATTTCAAGAAAATTGCTAATTTATTGCGTGATACGATCGTAACGAAGTATAGATTTTCATAACCAATTAAATTGATCTTTCAAAAGCAATTTTTTTTGATTAACTATTCATGATTTTAGAAGTACTATCGATACATTTATTATATTTATTAAATACTCTGAATGAACTTACTTTTTCTACCAACTAAATAAATTACTCAATAGAAAATGAATCACGATACAATTCTTTCTATATTACGTACTAGTATAAATAAATTTAGTGTTACGAGAATATAAAAATTTTACTTTCTCGCTTAGAAATTTAATTAGTAAGTACAAAGTATAATTCATAAATTAATTTATTCAAAAAAGTTATACATGTAATAAAATAAAATTTGTAACAAACATCTAATTTTTTTGATGAGGTTCAATTCGAAAACGACCAGGATTTTTTAATGATACTACTGGATAAAGTTTTGATGGTAAATTATTCCAAGCTGATACTTCCTGATACTTTGTACCATTGACTGTGAAAGCGCAAGTTCTTTTATTCATATCCAAATGGACTGTAACTATTGTGCCATCACCTTTAAATGAAGAACAGTACATTATTCCTTTATTAGAATTATAACAATAACCACCAGAACCTAATACCCATCCGGTAGATTGATCACCTGCCCAAATTTCATAATTAAAGTCTTCTGGTGCACATACTCCAACCCAGGCATAATCACAAGTTTTCTCAATAATCATATCCCACTCAAAAATACCTTTATTTTCTAATGCTATTTTAGTTCTAATATTTTGGTGACCACAACCATTTGGTGCATGTACAATTTTTCCGTTATCTTCAATAATAAGTTTTGATCCACATGCTGTCTCATCCCAAACATAACCGGGACCGAATTGATTAATAGGTTTTCCACGAGTATTACTTAAATTTAAATTATTTGATAATGCCATATATCGATAAACGCTAAGAGTTGTTTCGATTGGAATAATTCCTAATGGTTCAATGATATCAACTATTATTTGTGCTTTAATTCTTCTGAAATCAATAAATTTAATCAAAGGCATCAATTCTTCAGAAATTTTTTGATTATCAGTAATAGATTTATTTTCTGTTCGAACTGAATTATCTAGTTGTCCTAAGGTTGGTAACTGCTCGATAAAAATTTTGTATACATCATTAGAGACTTGTTTTGCTACTAGAATTGTACTATACCGAAAAACTTCATATTCCGGGGTTGCGAAAGGCACTTCTTTTTCATGTGTATTAGATAAGAGATTTTTAAGACCTGCAATAGACAATCGACCAAATTCAATATCATTTAATGGAATAACTGCTACTGTTTCAACCAATAAATTAAGAAAAATATTATCTTCTGTTAATGGGTTTTCTGAAATTTTAGATAATAATTCCGGTGAATAATTTTTTGCCAAATTAGTATTCTTAACTGATTTTGTAATAAATTCCTGCAGGTCAGATAATTGAAAATAATCAGCAGCGTAAAAAGCTTCGATTATATTATTTTTCGTTAAATATTCTTCTTTAACTGATCCCGTATAAATATATTCTAATATAATTTCCATTCCAGCGGAATTAATCTTTGGAAAAGAAATTTGATTTTCATAAGTTTCTTTCATTCCATTATAAAGTAACCTATCAAATACTTCGGACCTTGCAGCTAAAATTGCTCTACAACCATATAATTTCTTTTCATCTTCGCATAAAATTTCTACGTCGCTATACTTTGGATTATTTATCAATAATCTTAAATCTTGTTCTAATGAATATCCTCTTGTCATTTTTTTTAAAAAATTTTTTTTTTAGAGAAGTAATACACTTTCACGATCCTATTTTGGATTATAAAGAATTATATTCTGTACTACGTTGTACTAAACTCTGAATGTTGTGACATGTGCATCATGCAATTCATGCATCAATTGAATCATTGAAATTTTAACTGCGCCTTCATATTGTAAAAAAAATTCTTGGTTTATGTCACTATCTTGTATAAAAATGACGTGATTACTGATAATAATTGTTAAATAATATTTTTCTATTATTATGAAACCAATGCAAACTTTTAAGCCATTAAATATATCAAAAACTTGGGTGAATGATTCTTATTATAAACTAAAAATAAAATTATGATATGTTTAATATTACGCGTAATGAGAGTAATTATTTAAAATAATGAACAAATTTTTTTAATTAGTAAACATTACATTGTTTAATCAAAACTACAAACAGATAAATTGTATTCCTTTATATAGAATTACAGTTTTATCCTGTAAAAATGAACTCGTGAAGTAACATAAAAGCATGGAGAATATTTAATAGTTACTCAGCACCTCATGCCGCTGTTATGATGTGAGTAAAAATGTTTATCGATGTCATTTTTAAATAGAATTCTATCAATCGATTTTATAATTTTTTTTTCTATTTAATGTATGTAATAAAACTTCTTTTCCTTCTACGAATGTTATTTCTTTTCATTTTCGTTTCTTTAATTCTGTTAAATAGCAAAACAATTTATCAAAAAAGAAATCGTTACTTTCTCTAAAAATACAATTGCAAATATACAAGTATATACTGAAAAATAAAAATGGGGTTAAATAACGAACAATTTTAGAATAGATGTATGACTATCTTTTAGATAAAGATATTATCGAATTTCACCAGAGAAAAAAATTGTATCACGCTATTTGTGAACAGGTAACGTCAGTCAAATATGTATTTTTAAAAAATTTATGCTTACTAACGAAATGTAATAAGAAATTGGCTGATAATTATTGCACGCGGGTTTTTTTATACGGCAAATATTATTTATATTAAGAAACGTTTAAAATCTCCTTTAAACTACGTACATACGCAACATTCATCTCACGATGAGCTACACATAATAATACTTGTATTTCAGCATAGTCCATTCCAAGATTATATTTAATTTGAAAAAGAAATTTAAGAAATTTGGTTTTCTTAATTCTATTATAAATGAAGTAGTCAACAAAATACTTCTAAAATTGCTTTACAACTACATAATTTCTTTTCGTCTTCACACAGAACTTTTATATCACTACAACACATTTATTAGTAAACTCAATCCTTTTCTAATAAATAAATAATATTGGATTTTTTTTTCCTTTAATCAACGACATATTTAATATGTATCAAAAATTTAGATCATCATGCAAGTCCTTAACCCTCAAATTGAACGAGTGCCATTGAATTCAGCCTCATAATAGGAATTGTTTAACTGAATGAGATTACATTAGTTTTCTGCATTATATAATAAACGTAATTTAGATCTCAAAATATACCCTTTAATTAGTAGTTGCATTGTATAATAATATTAAGACGATTTTCTTTTTTCGCTAATAATTTACTGTGATTATAACGATTGTGACGAAGTTTAACTTATCAGAATCTTGATACAATCATCTCATCAATCTTCTGAAAGTTTTATGCATGATTTATCTAAATATAATATTACTTGAATATTTTCACCAAAAATGCAAAAAATGAAATTACTTAATAGAAATATGAAGTTCTACCACTTCGATACAATTCTTTCTATATTTCAAGGTAATATAAATAATAGATCATATATTTATTTATAATTCATAAATTAGTTTATTCGAAAAAATAATTCATATAATAAAGTTATAAAATTTATAATAAATATAATAAGCATCTTAATTTTTTTGATGAAGTTGAATTCGAAAGCGACTAGGATAACATAATGATACTATTGGATAAAGTTTTGACGGTAAATTATTCCAAGCTAATACTTCTGGATATTTTGTACCATTTACTGTGAAAGCACAAGTTCTTTTATTCATATCCAAATGGACAGTAATTTTCGTGCCACTTCCAAATGATGGACAATAACTTAATCTTGTATTAGAATTATAACAATAACCATTAGAACTTAGTACCCATCCAGTAGATTGATATCCTGCAAAAGTTTCATAATTTAAATTTTCTGACACACATATTCCAACACAAGAATTACCAGCAATTTTCTCAATAATTACATCCCAATCAAAAATACCTTTATTTTCTAATGCTATTTTAGCTCTAACATTTTGGTAACCACAACTATTTAGTGCATGTATAGTTTTTCCGTTATCTTCAATAACAAGTTTTGATCCGCATGCTGTCTCATCCCAAACATAACCGGTTAGTTTTCCACGAATATCACATAAATCTAAATTATTTAATAATGCTACGAATCGATAAACATTAGAGATTATTTTATCTGAAATAATTTCTAATGGTTCAATAAAATCGGCTAATATTTGAACTTTAATTTTTCTGAAATCAATAAATTTAACTAAAGGTTCTAATTCTTTAGCAACCTTTTCCCGATCTGTAATAATTTTATTTCCTACTGTTGTGATTGAATTATCTATTTGTTCTAAGATTGGTAACCGTTCCATAAGAATTCTATAAGTATTATTAGAGACTTGTTTTGCTGCTAGGATTGCACTATATCGAAAAACTTCATACTCCCGAGTTGCAAAAGGTATTTCTTTCTCATGAGTAATAGATAAAAGATATTTAAGACCCGTAATAGATAATCGACCAAATTCAATATCATTTAAAGGAATAATTGCTACCGCTTCAACCAATAAATTAAGAAGAATATTATCTTCTGTTAACGGCATTTTTTCTGAAACTTTAGTTAATAATTCTGGTGAATAATTTTCTAAATAATTCGTCTCCAAAGTACATTTGAGAACTTTCATAATAAAATCCTGAAGTTCAGGTAATTGAAAATAATCGGCAGCGTAAAAAGCTTCAACAGTATTATCTTTTGTTAAAGATTCTTCTCTAACTGAACCTGTATAAACATATTCTAAAATAATTTCCATTCCAGAAGAATTGATCGTTGGAAAAGAAATTTGGGTTTCGTAAGTTTCCTTCATCCCATTATAAAGTAGTCCATCAAGTACTTCGGATCTTGCTGCCAAAATTGCTCTACAACCATATAATTTTTTTTTTTTTTTTTTAAAAAAAAAAATAATTTTTTTGGAAATAGAAATATTTTTTGTAATAATTCTGTATTCGGATTGAACCAAATAATTATATATCCGCTATGTTGCACTAATCTGTGAAAAAGGATATGTTTCACGTATATCATTGCGCCTTTATTTCACTAAAAAAATATATATATGGTTATGATTATCATAAACAAGAATTTTTGTGTTAGAATGCTTAAATCTCAACTATGAGTAAAAATAATTAATCTAAAACGATGAAAATAAGGCTCAATAAGATAATGAAACTATTATAAACCCCAAAGTAAATTTCTTTTCTTTATAAAAATTAAAATGAAATTACAATTCATTTTCCCATTATCGTTTAAAAAAAAATTATTCATAAAAGTTAAGGTGAATGAAGTTTATTTATATGATTAAATCATAATTAAATTTTTTAATTGACTTTGTAATAAAATCCCGAAGTCTGATAATTGAAAATAATCAGCAGCGTAAAAAGCTTCAATTGTATTATCAGGCTTTCGATAAAGGTTCTGATCCCGTATAAATGTATTTATTCTAATATTGTAATTTCCATTCTAACGGAATTAATCTTTGACTTCCTTTCATCCCGTTATAAAATAATCTAACAAATACTTCGAAACTTGCTGCTAAATTGTTTACAACCATATAATTTCTTTTCATCTTTACATAAATTTCTACGTCGCTATATTTTGGATTATTTATTAATAAGCTTATATCTAATATCCTCGTCATTTAAAATTGAAATATTTTTTTAATGATTCTATTTTTGAATTAAATTTATATATTCTATATGTTGTACTAAACTGAAAGTGGTATGTATCATAATTCTTGTATCATAATTCTAACTGCGCCTTCATAATGATTGAACGTTAAAGTCATTTTCATGCAACTAAAAAATATTAATTCTTGGTTTATGCAACTATAAAAAATAAAAAGTATTATATTTTAATAGTAAACTTTATCTATGTCGTTAGAAACTCTTTCAAACGATATTAGAAAGGGTACGACATGTTTTATTATTAAATGAGCGTCGACCCAGACGTTCTGTTCTGCACTTTAATACTACTAGTTTAGTTTAAATGGTCGATATCTTGAGAAAGTAATGCTTAATTACTACTTATGTAAGTGAATATACAAAATAATGCAAGCCGCCAGCGTCAATATAAATTAATTTATAACGTGATGTAATCTACATTCAACAAAATAAAATGTATTAATAAAAATAAATTTTCAAATTATGTTAAATAAATAAAAATATACTTGTGTTATTCTGAATTTTACGCGTAACTAGTGTTGTAAGAAACCTATGAAACTTGGCGAAATTGTTTTTCCGAATTTCTAGATTTCCAAAATCACCGAAATGAAACCTATCAAAACTTCTTATTGGTTAAATTATTTAATTAATAATTTTTATCGAATGAAAAGTTATTAAGTGATTAATTACACTGTATTATTCATGTACTCTATTAAAATATAATATAATAAAATTATTGGTAATACTTAGGTTACGGTAAATTTTGAGTCATAGAACACTTGGCAAATTTTATTAGCCAAGAGAACTTGGTAACTTATCTCTAAACAAAATCTATTCTAAATCAAGTGCCAATTTTTTTAACAGCTTCCCGTGAGATGAAATATTTCTTAGTCTTCGGTCACAACCACAGCTGTTATGAAGTCACACGGTGAGTTTATTGGTTTTATATTTGAATAGAATCCTATTAATCGATTTTATACATTTATTTCTTTATTAAAAAGAATCTTTTTTAAAATTTGTAAAACATTTACCAAAAGAAAATCGGTACTTTACAATTACGAACACCGAAAATTAAAAATGGGTTGAAATAACGAACAAGTTTAGGATATGACTATCTTTCAAATAACGATATTATATTTTTAAGTTAACTATAGAATATTAATACAGAATACTCAAGCACACCTACCTAAAGAAATTATAGCATGCCATAGAAAAATTGCATCCCGCTTTTGTAATTACAGGGGTAACGTTAATCAAATTTAGTATGTTTAATTATACGTTAGTATACTGTATTAAGAAACGTTTAAACATACATAAATCAAAGAATTATGATGACTTGGTTAAATAATTAAAAGTTTAATAGAATATATTAAGGTTACTGATTTATAATTTTATTTTCTTTATCATATAATAATTCAAAATTTTTTTAATGTATTTAATGGGTCTTCATCATAAAGAATAACTTGCAGCATCATATTAGCTATTTAATTATTCTTCTTCTCAATGACTTTAAATGTGTTGGTATAAAATCTAAGAGATCAAAAAATGAAAATGTTAATGGCGTATAGTTTTTGTTTATTATGTATAAATATTCGAACAATCATTCTTTATAGTTAGTATATACCAGCATAATCCATTCTAGCGGAATCATACTCATACTTGGAAAAGAAATTACCCCAACCAAACACTGCTAAAATGTTCTACGACCACATTAATTTCATAATATCTTTTTCATCTTCACATGAAATTTTCTATATCGCTACAATATATTTGTTAATAACTTCAAACTCAGTTCTAATTAATATCTTTCTTTGGAAAATTTTTTTTTTCTTTAATCAACGACTTATTTAATATGTATCAAAAATTTTAGAAAAACATGGAAAAAAGAAATATCTTAACTGCATTATTTATTAGGAAAATAATTATTTTAATCAAGAAGATTGATAATTTATTACGTGATACGATCGTAACGAAGTGTAAATTTTTAGATTCTTATAACCATTCATATCGATCTTTCGAAAGCAATTTAATAAAATGAATATCTTCGTGATTTTAAAAGTACAATCGATACATTTATTATATTTATTGAATATTCTAAATAAGCTTACTTTCAATTAATTAAATCACTCAATAAAAAATGAAGCTCGATACAATTCTTTCTACATCAAGTACTAGTATAAATAAGTTTAATGTTACGAGAATATAAAAATTTTACTTTTTTGTTTAACAACTGAATTTAATTAGTACAGAGTGTAATTCATAAATAATTTATTCAAAAAAGTTAAAAAAAAAGTTATACATATAATAAATAAAATTTGTAATAAATATTCTAATTTTTTTGATGAGGTTGAATTCGAAAACGACCAGGATGACACAATGATACGACTGGATAAAGTTTTGGTGGTAAATTATTCCATTCTGATACTTCCTGATACTTTGTAACATTGACTGTAAAAGCGCAGGTTCTTTTATTCATATCTAAATGGACTGTGATTATTGTGCCATCACCAAATGGAGGACAGTACTTTACTGCTTTATGAGAATTATAACACTCACCATTGGAACCTAATGTCCATCCAGTAGGTTGAAATCCTGCAAAGCTTTCATAATTTAAATTTTTTGACGCACATACTCCAACCCAACCCCACGTACAAGTTTTCTCAATAATTACATCCCATTCAAAAATACCTTTATTTTCTAATGCTATTTTAGTTCTAACATTTTGATGACCGACACCATTTGGTGCATGCACAATTTTTCCATTATCTTCAACAATAAGTTTTGATCCACTTGCTGTCTCATCAAAAACATAACTGGGTTCATAAATTGGTTTTCCACGAATATCACACAAACTTAAATTATTTAATAATGCTACATATCGATAAGCATCAGAAATTATTTTATCTGGGATAATAATTTCTAATGGCTCAATAAAGTCGGATAATATCTGAATTTTAATTCTTCTGAAATCAATAAATTTAACCAAAGGTTCTAATTCTTTAGCAACTTTTTGCCGATCGGTAATAAACTTATTTCCTACTTTGATTGAATTCTCTACTTGTTCTAAAGTTGGCAGTAGTTCCTTAAGAGTTTTATATGCATCATTAGAAACTTGTTTTGCTGCTAGCATTGCACTATACCGAAAAACTTCATACTCCCGAGTTGCAAAAGACATTTCTTTTTCATGTGTAATAGATAAAAGATATTTAAGACCCGTAATAGACAATCTGCCAAGTTCAATATTGTTTAATGGAATAATTGAGACTGCTTCAACCAATAAATTGAGAAGTTTATTATCTTCTGTTAATGGCATTTTTTCTGAAACTTTAGATAATAATTCCGGCGAAAAATTTTTAACTAAATTAGTATTCTTAACTATTTTTGTAATACAATCCTGAAGGTCTAATAACTGAAAATAATCAGCAGCGTAAAAAGCTTCAATTGTATTATTTTTTGTTAAAGATTCTTCTTTAACTGAACCTGTATAAATATATTCTAATATAATTTCCATTCCAGCGGAATTGACCTTTGGAAGAGATATTTGATTATCATAACTTTCTTTCATTCCATTATAAAGTAGTCTATCAAATACTTCGGACCTTGCTGCTAAAATTGCTCTACAACCATGTAATTTCTTTTCATCTTCACATAAAATTTCTATGTCACTATACTTTGGATTATTTATTAATAATCTTAAATCTTGTTCTAATGAATATCCTCTTGTCATTTTTTNTTAAATCTTGTTCTAATGAATATCCTCTTGTCATTTTTTTTAAAAAAATTTTTTTTTTTTTTTTTGAAAAATTACCCCAATCCTATTTTTGGATTATAAAAGAACCTATATTCTGTACTATGTTGTACTAAACCACTAAACCTTGTACATGAATTTTAGTTACGCCTAACGCCTTCATCTTCAGCCCGGCACGTGATTTTTGAGCATGTGATTTGCTATGATCCGTCGTTGAAAAATTTCATATTTCAAAATATTACTGAAAATTACTGAAAAATTTATTTTATACCAAATTTTAAATAAATAGATTTTTATACAAATCAAATCATTATTGGCCAACTTTCATAAGTAACTACCTTTTAATTTTAAATAAGCAAATATTATAATTAGTTGAATTCTTTACAAGTAAAAAACCTGTATTATGAGCGACAAATGTAAAGAATATCTATACAAAGTTTTAAACTTCTGCTAAGCATATTCATATACTGTCATAATTTTTTTAGTGTGATTATTTGATTTTACCACATAATCCATATGTCCATTAATTTTACTCCAATCGAAAATTCCAGATATCAATGTATCTTCAAATTTTACTTATAAATTTATTTTATTTTAATCTTTTATATATAATTTTTTTAACCAAATCCAAGAATTAATGGCCAAGTTTTATAGTAGTTGAAGTTAATTATTGAGCGCTAAATGATCGGCAGGTGATAAAAAGCATGTCCGCACTGTTTTTTATTTTTTATTAATCGGGATGACTTTTCGCTGGTCTCAGAATTTACGGTCACAAGAATGAAATAATTCGTTAAACTTGCCTTCACCAAATCCTGCAAACAATCAGAAACGATAGTATATGTTATATTCTTTTCATAATAATAAATATTGAAGAGTAGTTTTAACTCGTAATCTCCATTGCACTGGAGACTTCCTCTTTCCCATTGTTGATAGTTTGTCATAGAGTATCACTAATAATAGAGTAATTTCCAAGATATTCTCTATAATAATTCATATCATATCCAAGGGCGGTTATTGATAGGCTTAGGTAGTCGCCATTGAATAATTATATTGATGTTAATAACGCTATTTGAAGTAACCTCTGACATTTTAGTAAATAATAAGCGATTTTTAGTGAATTTATCGATATATAAAGCTTTTAACGAATTATAGCGATTCTTTATCAACTTATACAAGAGAATATCATGATTCAAATTTCCCCAACACTTATTTTCCTGACATCATGAATTGGTTAAATTAGTTCCGAGATCATTATATATTCACAAAAAAATTTGTATCACGGGAAATTAATGATCACACGGCACTACCACAGAGATCCCTCAAATCACGGCTAATCAGATTCCATCTCCCTTGATCGCAACTAAGCCACCATTATTATTCAATTAATCATTACTTTAATCAAATTAATTATCAACTCATCAAAATCACGAGATGATCGGCTAATCAGATCCTGAGATAAAATTGGCTTTGCTACTAAGCCACCATTATTATTCGATTAATCATTACATTAATCAAATTAATTATCTTCGTTATAGTTTAACACATCACTCGATATTTTTTTATAAAACTGGACATCCACGGAGGGGTAAGAATGCTCATTCTTATGTATATATTACAAAAAAACAGATCAGATTTACTGTACAATAAAATTTTTTATTCAATAATATATCCAGAATGACTAAAAAAAATAGGATATTGTTTACTTTTTGCTGCTGTTCACCAATTATATTCTTTTTGTTATTGACGTTTCTTACTGCATACTTCTTCTTTGGAACCTTATCAAGTTCAATTTGGGCTCTTCATATTATTACATTCACTTTAGGTTACTAATTATACAAGTGGATCAGGTAAAATTGTATTCTTTTTGTATTCAATACTTTAAAAAATTAATACTCACAAAACAAAAAATCTCTTACAAAAAAGAAAAGAGAAGATGAAATTTCCAGATAAATTTAGCGACGAAACAAAAAGAGTTCTTAATATATGGGCTGACATCATTCAAAAAAGACATCAAGGTATCGATGAAGATTATTCTGATCCATTATTGGTTATTGAATATAACCAACAGGGTCTGAGGGATCGTCAGATGACAGAGCAAGATATTGGAAATGGTATGATCATAAATATTATATTATCTCTTTCAAGAGTTTTAAGTTTATTTTTTTTTTAGTGGTCAGAGGGACGGCTGGTTATCCAAACATTCCGTTTCCAAACCTCACACATCAACCGCAATCAGATGCTGTTTTCGCATTCAATCAACTACAAGCGATGGATGATGCTATCCATCAATTATTTCTGAATTTTAGCAATTATAGGACGGGTAAACAAGATGCTCCTGTTGGACGAGTTTTTGTTATTGAATTTCGCAGAGCCAATACATTCGAAGTTTCTGAACGGTTAGGTGTTTTTGATTGATCGTTTGCTCCTCAATCTTATTAAGTTTAATTTTCCAAGAACAAGCAAGAGCTATAAAGCGTATTGGCTCAAGTTTATAATGATTATATTAAGCAGATAATGTAAAAATTTAATATTTTCTGCATTGTTCTATTTGATAATAGTTAATTCTTAGCATATTTCATTATAGCCTATTTATAAAAAATAAATTTTGGATCTCCTACTCTTTGCAAAATGGTATAAAATCTCACATTTTTTTTGTTTTACCTCCTCCTGTCCTATTCTCGTAAACAGGGTAAGTATGTTTCTTTTTTCGAATAATTATGAGAAAAGATGATCAGGTCTAAATGAAGCAAAAAAATAATATCCCAAAATTTTATAAATCATTGGAACGAGTGTCCCGAAATTATTGCGTATTTTTGACGCATCTATTTATTCACTAATGGACCGCAATGATAATTGCAAAATCAAGGATCTTTATTGACAATCCAACTTAACGATCATGGATTAAGATTTCACCTCTAAATTGCTAATGCGCATGCTCTCAAAAGATCAGAATATTAGTGTGCATGATTGATAAGAATCGATCCATTACTACTCTGTTATCCATATACGAAATAAAGTAAAATACGATAGAAATATCTTTCAGTCCTTAACGAAATCTGTGAATCTAGATGCATTCATGTTCTTAACTCACGTTATAAATCTTATTTGCCCCGCTTGAAACTCACGAGTCACGCCACTAGCATTTTTTCTCTTGCTAATTTTTCATGTTTTATCCTCGTTGAGTTGCAAAACAATAAGATATATTATATTTTTAACTTAACACGAAATAAAAATGGTTGGTCGAATAATAATTATATTACAAAATATCACAATATGAAAATTTTGATATTTCAAAATGAAAACTTGATTAATAATATGTAATTTGATGAGAAATTTTATAATCTCTCGGGTTTTTCTTTACCACCAGAAGAATTTGATGTTTTTGATATGACCTAGAATTTGTCTTCTAAGTAATGTGTTGGATTTGTAGTGAATCCGAAGGTCTCCATGGTTTATCACGTTCAATAAGCTGCGAATAAAAAATTTAAGGGCATCAGGTTCTCTAGAAACATAGGTTTTATTAAAATGGGAATGATAAATCAATTCGATTTTGTTATCAGAACTTTTTCGCTGTATTTTGACTGTTACAAAATTTTATGCGAAATTATCATAAGACTCTATTCAAAAAAGGAAAGTTAAGAACAGATGTTTCATACGAAAAATTATTGGAAGTTATCCAAGAGGAGGGATTCGAAAACTTGCCAGCAAGATTAGAAAGACTAATTACTTGGTTTCCGTATCTATCAGTCAATGGAAATGTAACGTAACGGGACCACAGACCTATAAGATAAAATGGAGAGGACTCAACTCAACTATAGACGGAATAACTAATTTCTCTCTAATTCAACTACCAGCAAGTTGATTCTGCAAGTGGTTTGGTCATCTGCTCTTTTTTACGTCTCGGCACAGTTAATTTTAGATTCATTTTTAAATGGGATTATATCTTCGTTTTCGTACTTACAAAAATAGAATATTTTTATCGATTGAAGACTGTAATGTATTAGAGTTCTGGAAAGCGTGGAAAGCGTATAACGGGTACAAGAATTGTAACTGCACGTGTGTATCACATGTTTGAATAAATATTTCTGCGCCACTCACAAATCGCCCATATTTCATTGGAGTGTTCCATTAACTAAGTAAATCAAAATTATGTACGATATCATATAAAAATTTAATATTAGAGATTTTTTTGACTTATGCCGGACGGATCAATTGGAATTTTTTCCGGATATTTAAAAATTGCAGTTTATAAATATAATTACAATGTTATTAAAAAATTTATCAAATAATTGAACTATTGTTACATCAAAGGTAAATCAAAGATTGAGTTAATACAGTATTGAAAAAAAGTAATTTTTTTGTAAATTCTTCAAGCTATACATCTATAGTCATTTCACAAAATTAAGATAAAATTCTATAAATATAAAAATATTTAATAATTAAAACTAAAAATAAATTAATAATTTTAATAATTTTAAAAAAATAAAAGATTTTCTAATAACTAAAAAAAAGAGTAATATAATATAAAATAAAAAATAAAATAAAATAAAATAAAAATATGTTAATAATAACAATCCTATAATTCAATAAATCATCATAAAATAGGATAACAAAGAATATAAGAATGTAAAATGGGGGGAAACTATTTGAATAGTTAATACTAAAAGTCTAATATCTAATTATTGAGAAATAAAAGGATCAACAATAACCCTTGATAATTAAATCAAAGGAAATTCAGGGGTTGATATGTCCATCACGTAAATAATCCATTTAGATTTTCCTAAATATGATTATGAGAATTAAAATAATTGAACTTGAGAATTTTAATTTGAAAAAAATCATATCAATAACTAAATGTTTAAATGATTACTTAATTATTTCGAGAAATTTTCAATAATTTTCTTCAGATGGGCGGATGGATGATTAATAGCGTTAGAATAACATATACAAATAATATGCCATCTACTTTATATCCTCACCTCAGATGCACCAGACGCAAGATACCCTGTTAGATATATTAAATGTAAGATTATAAGCCTCTATTGAATTTTACATCGCTATAAAAAGACATGGTCAAAGCTGCAACAGATCCTGATGCAAATTCGCGACTCTTTTCAAAAAAAAAAAATAATAATTCTAAATTAGATAATTAATAGACTTATCCTCATACTTTTTAACGTATTTACTCTTATAAATCACAAATAAACCTGCTCTAAGTCCAAGTGTGCTCACAATTGCGTGAAGATCGAGTTAAAGTATCAGCAGCTTCAGTTCCAATTATTGGAAAATTTTCATCGCACCACATACTCTGGTAATATTATAAATACTGTACATGTCTAGATGAGATTGTAACCATCATAAAAAAAAAATAATCAAATCCTAACATAAATTTTTTCATTTTAAGAAATAAAAATCTTTCCAAATTTGGGACACGGTCTAGAAAACGCGTTGGCCAATGGCCTGTACGAAATTTCTAAATTTCTAAATATTTTATAATGGAGAATTATTACCGGACTAATTTAGAATTACGTAATGAACATAAGAACATGAAGTTACTATTGATGAAACAAATCAAACAAGATGTAATCATCATCACGTTCAGAAACTTACGTTGCATAATCTTGTGATGAATATGTGATCACAATGCATCAACTTACATAATACTATTCCTCCAAAATTTTTTTGGATTACGGCATCTTTACTTTAGATGAAATTGAAGAACCATAGTTAAACAGCTGGTTATTTTACCTATTTTTTTAAGAAAAAAATCTTTAAATTAGGATATTCACGTACATAATTTTATATATTAAGAAAAATTATTTTATCACAAACTTGTAAATTTTACTTCAAGGATTTTTCATAAAGGCAAAGGAACATGAATATGCTTTATCCTAACAAACTCATTGCGAAAGAGAACTTGAATAGTTCAATATCATGATAGCGGCCAGCTGATTTTGCATGTTTTAATGGAGTAAACACAAAAGCTCAAATTATTCTTGTACGACTTATTCTGATCAATCTTATCGGATATGATGACACGCTTCGCTCTTGAATATTTTTGTATCAGAATAAAAAAAAAAACTTCCTAATTATATAACGGATGTTTAAAAAAATAAGCCTTGACAAAGAATTTGAAGAACACAAAAATATGAGGAGGATGTATTATTAGAATAAAAATACTACCGTATTGATCAAATATTATGAAATTAAACGTAAATGCATCAAGTTTTGCAAGCTAACCTCACCACTTTTAAGATGTAACTAATCTTTTGTCTAATTGTTTAATTTAAATAAGGTTTTACATAATTTCATTTGGGAAGTTAATATTGACCATCATGTGAAATCTGGACATTTCAGTATATTTTTCACATATTACCTGTACATTTTCCGAACAAAAGAAAAATACAAATACACAAAACACAATACTAAAATACAAAACACAAAAACCATAAAGCAATTTTTTGGGGGACAATATTCAGGTAAAATATATTGAAAATACACCGAAAATATCTAGAAAATATCAAGAAAATAATAAAACATTATATGAAAATTTTATCAATTTCAAACCCATACATAGTAAATCAGTAAAAAAAAAATATTAGAAGAATAGAATTTTGGATAATTAACGAATTACAGTCAACTCTTCTTAAAAGAAGTAACCGTCCTGCGCTTCAAATTCGTTATAATTTTATAACGAGAATTTAATTGGTTGGTTCAATATCGTGGGATTTTGACGTATGTGATTCGTTATATTAAATTAGTTATTAGAAAGAGTTGGCTGTATATAAAACAAATGACAATCCGCAAGATACCCGGCCAGTTTATTGAATAATCCATCAATTTTTTATTGATATTTGTTTCTGGCTGAATAATCGATAAGTTAAATTTTGCATATATATATATATATACTGTATATCACATAATAAATATCTGACTATCCTAACTCCCTGAACTTTTGATTCTTACAATTTATTGATTATTATCCTATTATCCTATCATCCTATCATCTATTTATTTATTTAAGAAACCGGTGAATTTTATTTATTATATTCCGTAATAACAAATATCGAAATGAGAATGTTTTTTCTTTTATTAAAACAGGTTTCATTATTTATGAATAATAAATTTTTGTTAACAGCTAAGAAGAAAATTTGATGATTTATTAAAAATTTTGAGTGACACGTCACTCACGTCTCACGTGCTATTTTATAAATTTTAAAATTATTACATATTTATTCGCGACGAAATATATACATATTTGTATATAAAAAAATCTTGTAAATATGTGTGTACGGTACATGAGCAAGTGATACATAGGAATAAATCATGAACAATCCGCAATACATTTTTTAATACAAGGTTTAATTGTAGCACAATTTTTGCCATATTTAAAATATTTGATGATAACGACATGTAAATGGTGTTTGGGAACTTCCATTCGAGATTAAGATTTTTCGACTTCTTCAGGTAAGAAACAGATTGGTTCAAATAAGTGAGTTGAAGTTTCACCGAATTCTTGAGTAACATTGTGCACTTGTATTAAATAGATTCTTTGGATTGAAATGTTGAAAGGAATTACCGATCCGGTTATGGTAATAAGAGTGAGAATTGATAAGAGAACCAAGATGAGTAAAGTGATACGCCCCTTTTTTATTTAAGAGTAAAAGTAGTTGTCTTTTTCAAAGTGAATTTTTATTTGAATTTTAACAATTATGGAATATTAATATTTTTTTTTTTGGTCTTATTATAATTTTAAAAAAAAATTATGATTTGAATTTTCGCGTCTTTAGGCTTTTAGACAAAAAATATTTCTACTGATCTTTTGTGGCTAATTATTCCTAATAAAACTTTTAATCACATATACTGTGATACACATGTACATACTACATATTGATATATTATTAAACCCATTAAAAAAATTCATTCGAGATGAGTAAAATAGATAAATCCACTACCGCAATAAGATTATCGTGCGAATCGTTGCAAAGTAAAATTTATTTATATAAAAATTTAAATTAAAATATTATTCAAAGATTATAATTCGATTAAAAGAAAAAAATATATTTTAAAAAAAGCAAATCAAATCATATTTTATCATTCATAAATCGTATTATTTGCCCGCGAAGCCTAGTAGGACTTCTAGGAGAAATGATGGTCACGTGGGTCTATCACGCAGCGTGATGTAATTATATTTGTATACAAAAATTCGTGATAACGAGTAGACTTTATAACGAAACTAATTAGCCCCTAGTTTGTCTTAGTTCCATTCCTAGGACCCTTCACAGTATTTATTACGTTTTACCCCTTTTTTAACTGCATCCAAAAGTTCAACAATTTTATTATTAATTAACTGGAATCCGTAACTAATTAGAAACAGTACACTATCACCAAGAAATTGCGCATCACCTATCTATAAATAAAATATAATTAATTAAATAGTTTAAAATTTTGTTTTATATTAAAAATATATTTTATCATTCAAGAAATTGAAGTAGTACTGTTATTTTGGATACTAACCGGTTGATGACTAGCTGACTTATTCTTTTATTGATCAGCTGCACATGTTTAGTTCTCATTTCTCAATCTCAGATATGGAATTGAGCAACCAAATTTACATAAAGGCTTCTCCAAAATTTTATTTATTTTTTTTTTTCATTTATTCACTCTTCTCTCCTTCACTTCCTTTCTTTTTTTTCTCGTTCTTTCCTCTCTTCCTCCGTTCCTTCCCTTCTCTCTCACTCTTATTATTTCCAGTGAAGCTACAAAATAGAGCTTCCCAGTTTTTTACTCTTCCCCTTTTCTAAAATTTCTTAAGTTTTCTTATTTTATATGGAAAATATATACTTTTGTTTTCCGCACATATTCTCTTCGCTTTCTTTCTTTTCCTCATCATTTTCTTCCCTCATTTCTTTTTTTCCCACTTTCATCTCTTATTTTTTAGGTATTTTTGCTGGAGCAGCATGATGCTATGCGTGACCGATGCTGTTACGGTAAGAAAGGCGTTAAGCGTAGATTTTCCTTGTACAGAACTGGAAAAAAGTTCTCTTAGGCCGTGGCCACATCAACTATTAGTTAGTGGTTTTCTACGACTATGCAGTAATTATGTTTGATGTAATGTTTATGACCTGTTTGATCATCGTGGCCGGTTGCAGTACCTTATTATCTTTAGTTATCCACGATTAAACTAATATAGGTAATTAACAATTACATAGCGATGCGATATACAGTGTATTAAAAGTCACGAGACAACAAATCATTTTTTGAAAAATGTTCTTTTTTAAACTGGTATTAGGCTCCCCTTTCTATTTCGAGGTCCTGATCAATGTTGCTGCACCTCAAAAGTTTTGGATTTCAACAATTTGGTTCTCCGTAAGAATACTATTTGAGTACTATCTCGTAATTTCTGGTCTACTCTTAAATAGTGTGAGTGTCTATTATTTTATCTGTTCATACCTGGTTGTCTTCAATTATAGGATACACGGGTAACACCTTTGAGGTTAATACGCAAACATGATAATATTCGATGAGGCCTACGGCGTTTAGTGAGGAGAAATAGGGTTTACCATTATTTTCGAACGCCTTTTACCATTAATTTCGCCAAACACCCCTATGCTGAGGGTATTATCACTACGTGCTTTAATCCTAATAATTATTGGCTTCTGGTCGTTATATAATAATGCTTGATACTTGCTTAACCGAGTGTACATATGTTAACAAATTTATCTTCTTCAGTTTATAGGTCAATTATGAAATAAATACGTGATTACTGAAGCAAATTTTTAAATTCCAGACGGAATCCTTATGCATATTACCTTATCTAATGGAATAATGTTGCCGCGATCTAAAGTACATATCACGAATCAGCACGTGAAACAACTGATCTTGACATTTTATCACGTGATTCTATTCGGGAGATCCAATTATATTCTGATTGATTTCGTTTAAATAGTAAGAGATTGAAATTTAAAGTAATGATGATGGGGCTTTTTGCCAGGTTACTTGCAACTCTGATTGAGTACGTCCCGATTAAGAGGGCACGTTCACTGCAAGTTTCCGAATCAGGTGCACATTTCATTAATAAAATAGCTGTTGATTATATACAATTATTTTATTAAAAGCATTTTAATATATATATTTACTAGATAGATAAGTTTTAATTAATGTATTAATTGCATTATTTTATTATTGTAATTATTAATTTTATGGTTACAAATAAATATATCTGATATTTAATAAATTTATCTAATATTTGTAATATTTGTTATATTTTTGCATTCTCAAGTCCTCATTCTATTTGATTCAATATACTGTTTTTGTGCCATATTAACTATCACACATTACTTGTACTTACAGTGATTTCCATTTCATATCTTATCATACATTAATACAAGTATACGTTTTAAACATCAATAATTGTCTCTGGTTTTCTATAAAACTCCAATTTATTAAACAAATTTTAATATATAAATTAAACTAAAATAGTTGAAAGTGCGTCAGAAAATGGGATTTGGCATGGCGTCAATAAAAGTATAAAATTGTTTAAAAATAGAATATTTGAAACTTTGGGATAAATATTATATATTAAAATATGTTAAGTCTTGAATGGGTTCACATAAAGAGCATTATTTAATAGCGATCGATATAAATTTGCACCGAAATCATGTATAATTATATATCGATGAGTTGGTATAATCTGGTCCTAGCATCTGCATAGCACTACGCGAATAGGCTTTTATAGCATGATCCACTTCCATAACTCTCGGTTGATTCTTCTTCACATCAAATTATTCGAAAACTTTTAAAATTAAATAACTCATGTTATATTGACATTTGAGCAATACAAATGATTTTAAATAAATAAATTATAACCTTTAGAAAATGAAATGAGCGATTTTTGCGTGAAATTTTTTTTTTTTCTTTGTTTAGAAGGTTTAATTTGTTGTTTTCGAAATGTTAATGACTTTTTTTTTTCAAAAAAAGTATCTATTTTATGAAAAGAGACAAATATTTAGAGTACTTTCGCAAAAATTTGAAACAAAATTGTTAAGAAGAATCTAGAGTTATAAAAGTTTGAGAATAAATCGTTTTTTTAATAGGAAAAGTGAATTTAAACTATAGTTTATTATAGAAAAATCTCTAATAGTAGGTAAATTTTTATATGATATCGTACATAATTTTGATTTACTTAGTTGATGGAACACCAGAATATTTCATGGATTAAGCATAAGAAATTTTTATTTTATATATATGATAAAACAGATGAAATAATAAATAAAATCACTAACGAATGCTAAAAAGGAATAATACTTTTAAATAGTCCGAAATCTCGAAGATGTAGGAAAGATCACACGTGCACTATATTCAGACAATCTATTCGAACTCGTCATAAACTCTGCTCGCATCATGTTCTCTTAATCTAACAAAGTCGATCCACTTTCAAAGAGAACGCAAATAAGAAAAAAAATTATTATTAAAAATATCTAACCATTTCAACCAATTTAATAATAAACTTACCAATCCAGTTTTTAAAAAACCTTCGTAGTTAAAAATTTTAAGACGAACGTCATGATATATTAGTTTACCACCGATCACTTCTCGCTCAGGTACGAATAACTTATAAGGCACACGATATTCAACCCAATCGTTTTTGCTGGCAATTTTTGAGAACATCTTGACTTGTGGAGTATGATAGTATTCACGAATGATTGTCTCTTCATCTCCATTCTCAACCTATTAATATAATTCAATTATATGAGTCGTAAATTAGAACATTATGGATATGTCAACGTGTAAGACATACAATACATACTTTTTCTACGACAGTAGCGGAAAAGTTTAGATCATGAATATTATTTCGAGATCTAACTTTTAATCGCCATACAATATCATAGATGCCAGGCAGAACAGCTTTTAGAGTTGACATAACCTATAAAAAATTTTTTAGAATGGCGACTGCCCTAAAATACGACAAGTTATGATAGAATTCGCGCATACATCAAACCACCAAACATGATCCAGAAACACAATTTTTCCAAATTCACTGTTTGCAAATATAAACGTAAGTAAATAAAATGAAAATATTTAAAGATGTTCGATAAATGAAGGCTCACTAGTTACTACCTCTGTGAATCTTCGAGGGTCCGCCAATGATGATTATTTCCACCTCCCTGTTGAATGTCTAACCAAGTGATGCATCGTTCTTTGGCCATAAAACTAATATGCCTGGCTGTTATGTACAGTACGAATATCAATTAGGATTGCAAAAAAAAAAATATAAATATATATAATAAACTTTACATAGTCGTTTATAAAGCTTTTTGTTTACAACGTTTACATGCTGTTCCTCAATGTTATCTTCTTCTGCAATCATTTTCTTTAGTTCTTCAGATACGTAATCTGTAGGAAATTGATTAATACAAATTGAATGCCAAACGTAATCATCTTGAATAAACGACCAAAGATTCTTGTTAACCTGTGATCAGTAAAAAGAAGAAACAGAGCATAAGTTGTCAATAGTAGGAACATATGTTAGTGGTAGTTTTCTTAATATACCAAAGAAACGGAACAAAGATCTTTAGCAGGTAGAAAACTAAGGATCTTGACTACAATTTCGCTGGGAACTAGGGAAAAAACGTCTGACATTCTCGGTTGAAGTTTTATTACTGCTAAGAACTGTTAAGGGAAACATATAAATTAAATATTTACGTAATCATGATGTCATCTGAAAGTCGAAACCCGTGATTTTCATGAATCAAGAACGACACAGGGAAGATTGGCATGGCCCCTACTTCTTTATTTTATTCTTCGCCTTGTTTTTTTTAACCCTTTATGTGCGAGTTATCTTAGCGACGTAGTTTTTCTAATGATAGCTTTTTTTCTTTTAGTTAGTTTTTCTCACTATGTATTTATACCTCTAGTTTGTACTATACACAAAGTCAGTGCGAATCTCATTCTTTTAAAATAAATAAAATAAAATAAAATAAAATAAAAATTAGCATGGCCCCTGCACAAGGATGACACGATGCATCGTTCTGATGAAATAGAACAGTCAAGAGTTATACCGTTTAATCTTTACAATTATTTAAATGCACTTAAATTACTTCTTCTTAAAATTTACTTGTTTTTGTCATTTAATGTCTTTTTAAGCAGTTTATTGTATAATTAACATTCTGTATAAGTACTAGAACAACTCTATCTCACAAAGTGAGATATACAAATATTATCAATGAACGCACGAGAGAACCAAATATCCATCCATATTACAATTGTACGAACTGGTAGATCATGGAGAATTTTTTTCGCATACATTTTCGATAGAATGTTGTCATTATTCTCTAGAAACGTAGTTCCTAATCTCTCCAGTTTTAGATGGAATCTAGGCGGACTTAATTGTTCATACACTCCAAGTTTTAATCACGCAGTTAAAAAGATTCAAAAGACACTTCTCCTTCGGATTTATAGACCAGGTGGATTATTAATAACATTACAATTTGTTGTATAAGATTTATATTAATAGGAATTAACAGGTGAAAATTATGCAGCGGTCAACGTATGAAGGCAATCACATCAAAACGATATTTTATTAATTTTCTATTATCAAGTAATAGGATAACTAAATTAGTAGTGCACGTTTAAAGAGGAATAAAGGCATGAAAAGAAATTCATACTTCTGCCGGCCTCTAGACCATGATTTGGAATTTTGGATATTCATTCCCACTACTCATTATTTCCACATACTAATGTTTTACTATGAGAATAATTCTTACGATAAAATTTTTTTACAGTTTGCGTATAGATATGAGAGTTATTCTTTAGGAACGAAGTTCCTAAACCGTCGACAGATGAAGTAATCGATTCCGTTTCATTTTGCCCTTGGGCAGTTTCTAACTTCATCATTAACGATTTGCTCGATGAATATTAATCCTACTGTATTGAGAATTCTCTGCGCCTCTGTTACGAAAATATGGCGGTAATGCGATTTCCGCAATATAATTGGAGTTAATTTTGTTGATCTCCACAGTTATTCTTTCATTATGAACAGCATAATTATACAGATATTTTCTCGATAAGAAAAGCTGATTGACGACATCTACAATGAAGGAAACAAAATCATCCCGGTAAACAGTTTCGTTGATTTGATGAATTCAAATAAACACAGGTAATAATTTATTGCAAAGAGAATAAAGAGAATAAGATTAGTCAAAATCAATATGAGCATGCATCAATTTTCGTTACGTTTGTATACCTTTTTACACGGATCAACTAACCGAGTTTAAAAAAATGATGACAATAAAGACAATAAGATAATAAATACAATAAGCTGTTGAGAGGGTCGAGGCTTTCAAAGTAAACAGAAAGGCTTACTTTAAAAAATGATATCCAATATTAATATTCTCCTGACAATCGCGCGCGCCACTACTAGAACGGAGCATCAATATTAAATCTGAGGTCAATTTTTCAATTTAACCCTAGCGAAGCCACCAAAGTTGTGTCATGTGGGCTTGGCTTTAGTCTTTCGAAGGAATGCCCTGAGCTTCTATTATTGTCTATTTGCCCAAGTTAACAAGCTTAAACTGATCCCTGATGACAATTATGTCATTTCGGAACGAGCAAAAATAGAATAGATTCGTTAGTAAGATAATTTACTTCGTAGGCTTTTACCTAGAATATTAGAGATAACTGGAAAATAAAGAACATTCGAGAAAAAATGTTATATGCGAAATTCCATACTGATAAAATAATTCGCACAATAAGTACTTAAATCTTTATTGATACCAAAAATAACATGGTACATCCTATAATACATAACCACGGATCTAACTACTTCATATCATATTTGAGGACGTATCCTTTTAACTTATTTTTCGTATCATCTCTAGGGATTCTCATTTTAGCCTCCCAACTTTATCAGCTTCACTCATATTGACTATCAAATTTAGCTCAGTATCTCTGATAATTAACCAATTCTAATGAATTCTTGTTGCAAATGAAGGACAAGAGTATCTATATCCGATTTATTTTAATAATAAATGGTTCTTTTGGATTTAACTCCGGCAAGCGGGATTCAGTTGAGACACTTTCCTTAGCTGAAATCGAGGTGTTCGCTTGCGCTTCCGATGCATTAGTCTGATCATCTTGATTTGATTTCACTGGAATCTTTCTCCGGATAATAGTTCGAATTTCCGTTAGAGAATTTCGAAATAGAGTTTGCACTATTTGATTTAATATATCTGACATTATCTAGTCCTATTTTTTCGAATAGCCTGTAAATATTCCTAGATCTTTCGATTTTCCTATAAAGAGTTTCATGCTTAGCACCAGAATTTTGTGCAATAATAAAATCGTAAATTCAACCTTTAGCTTTTTTCATGCTCACTCTATCTCTAACCATGATTTCATCTATACTTTTATCAAATCCTATAATAAAATCCGTCTGATTAGCTTTTATCGTATCGTCTTCTGCATTATATGCTTTTTTATATACATGAGCTACGTTTTGCAAGATATCCTATTTTTCCTGACCAAAGGTCAGCGAAATTTCAGTCACATGAACTGGGATATGAAATCATGCAAAGTACCTTTCGGAGGATCCCGGTTAGGAGATACGTCGTTGCATCTGACACCGATAGTTATTTCTCGAATCAAGTCCTGTTCGTATGGTAAGTAGTTGTACAGTATTCTGGGAAATCGAGGGTGTCTTCCGGGGAGATAATTCACGCAGAAGTCTCTTCCCCTTATTGTGCTGCCTTATCACTTTTTCTTATGTTCTGAGTCCAAAAATTCATCAGTCTCTCTGTCCTTTATTGTCTTCTTACTCACGCAAGATGGTAAAAGAGGAGACAGCTTCATCGTGAGCCATTTCAATTTGTGATTGACTGAAATTCTGTTCCAACTTCGCAACTCTTTAAGTTTGGCGTTTTCAGTGGTGACATCTACTCTACTTTCCAATTCCTCAATTTTAGCCTTAAGCTCGGCTCTTAATCTCGTATTCTCGGCCTTAATCTCAATATTCCCAGCCTCAAGCACAGTAATCTTATCATAAGTCTAGCGTTCTCCTTGGCTTTCATTTCGAAAGTACTGTTTGTACACTGTAGATAAGAAAAAAAGTAATCCTGACCCGAGGTCAGCGAAATTTTTTTATTTAACACAGATAAAATAAATACAAGACACAGATCTATACATGATTTTGGCGAACATTGTCCGCTGAAATTTTTATACTAAGCCTCAGTATCTGTCTTTCCCGCAAGATTAACCAACGACCTTACCCGTTTTATTTCCCTCTTATTACCTACGTCAAGAGCTGAATCCAGCTTCTGCACCTCCTCCAAATATGTCCGAGAACTCTTTCAACATTACCTCCCATGTTCTCACTATCATATACAACGGATACCGGCCTCAATAGTTTGAATCTTTGCCTGTCTTGATCGTCGAGTGAGCATTCCATAAAGTACACTTTTCCGCATCTGTGACAATTCCCAATATCTTATTCACAAACATACTATCCTCCTCCATCTCGTTTGCCTTACGTTTACGGTTTGATAAAGCGGATTCAAGTTGTATGGCATTCTGAGCAATACCCTTAAAAAAATCTTCGTCCTTTACTTATGTCGCACCAACCGTTTTGCGGTTTGGGCAAGTCTATTGTGAAATCGACCAATCCATGTCCATTGGGTCCTGCGATATTTTGCTGGTCGAAGCTCGTATAGATTTGCACCTACAACAAGGTAAGAACACACGTATTGTGATTTCGGTGCGTCGCTTTCATTGATCGGGATTGCCTTTAGACGAGCCTCCAGTTCAACTATAAGATATTTAATTATTACCTGGAACGAATCGTTTTTCAGATCTTTATACTCACAAGTGAGAACACTGACAATGAAGGATCGCCAAGTCCATAAAGCTGACACACCTTTGGGAATGACAAATCTGAGAAAGCTTTTGAGGGAGTCTCTATGAACACAGTAAACTTAAGGTCACGAGCGACTGCAACATATCTCGGAATGCGACATCGTTCCTAGGTGAATATCTCGCTCCGTCATTCATGAAGTTGAGTACCGCTCCGTCATTTGTTTTGAGGTCTTCGAGAGTTGCATGTTCGATGTTCATCGTCTATACCTTTCGTTTCGGACTAACGACGACGTCGTGCAATAACTGGGTCAGTAAAAAATTCATAACCTAAAATTTCGCTGATCTTGGGTCAGGAAAAAAATACGTACCATGGACAGACTTGTTAAGTGGCTCCTCCAACGACGCGCGATTTGGTCAAGCAATTCCTGTTCGCGGCTCGAAGTGGCAGTTAGCACAAGTGGCTCGACTATGACATGAAGACACTCTTCAGAGGGAAGTATCTCGAAAATTTTCTTATGGCAAGGAGCTCTTCGTTGTCCTTGAGTATGAGATTCCTCAACTGATCGTCGTGTTCGCCAGCAATTTCCACCTTCCACTTTAGTTTGTCTGCAGGAAAATTATCGAACTCGGGGTGCTTTTCGCCTTTATAGCTTCCTTGAGTTCACTAATGGGCTCGTTCCTATTCAGAGAACGCGTTCGCGATTGTATTACCTTTGACGAGATAGAACAAAGTAATAGACATTTTCGGCTTAAATACTATATTTGAGAAATTCAGCTGTTGCACAGATCTTTGTCGTGTGAATGTGTGATCATTTGTTCATTTGTGTAGCACGAGAGTACATGTGGCTCAGCAAATTGTTCCGAGTACGAACAAAATATATCAACTTAGTATGTTAAAATATCCGCAGCTTTGATCGCAACCTCTATAGACTATAGCTTTACTAATGTCATTATCGACCATATGCCGTCCTTCTTCGATAACTCGTAGTATAATTTGTATAGGTTCCAAAAGATTTTTTTTATTAGCATACCATTTCCTGTATCGCCATCTAACGTTATACTGGAAATAGCATCACGGCGGTATTTCTTATATATTCACCCGGTTTCTCTTCTTGGCATAATCTGCTTATATAACCGGCATATCCTTCTATGAACTTACTCCTCGTATGATTGCATGAAACCCCTCTTCCGTTATTTTGATCTGCGCTTTTCTACGTGATACGGTGATAGTGCTTGCTGAAACTGAACCGTTATCTATTAAGTGGTTTCATGTATACGAGGTAATGTAAAGTTTTGTTTTGAAAAAAATAATTACCTTTACCTACTATATAATATGGTCGTATGTTGAAATAACTTTTCTAATTCGTTTATATATCCAAACCTGCTAGTATCTCTTCAGGTATAGCATCCCCATATTTCTCCACGGCTTGTTTATATGCAGGTCTTCGACAATAACTAATTGTTCATGTTGAAGCCTGGTCATTTAGTATCTTTGTTTGCCGATAGTGTATGGTACAAATCGTTCACATCGTAAGAAATTCGCGGTTTGAGTTTGTCTTCAACGTCATCAAAGGTACAACAGACAACACTCGTGATTTCTTAAGACCCTTCGCCTTTAGTATGTTTTTAGTCACATTCCTCAGTTTCAACTGCATATGATTTTGAACGATTACCGGCATACCTGATTATTTGAACTCGCCGTTCTATCTCCAATGACCTTCATATTAGTTAGCTCAAGTGTACCGTCTGGACGGGTTATTGATCAGATGGTAATTTTTAAGGATGATCATCTGAATAATCACTATCATCGTCGATTTCTTTCAAAGGCATTTTTTTGCATTACGTCATCGTAATGTATTGGCCATAATGTAAGGTTCGAGCTAGGGGGATTGGTCAAATTCTAAGATACGATATACTGTACGTGTCCTAATTCAAGATATTGTCGGAAATTTCTATAATTAAGAATATACCTATCCACGTAGCCACTAATTTTCTGTCTCCACCTTGCTCAATTTTTCAATTAATTTATTCTGATAACGGCTAAGTTCTTCACATTTTGCTATTCGTCTTTCTGGGGAGAAAGGAAAGTCTGAATGTGATGGGTGTAATTTTTCTGGATATCTTAGTTTCACTTCCCATGCACTTCCACGTTTAGCAGTTGGTGAAATAGTTCGAATATTCGTTAAGTCCTTAAGGCCAAGCCAATGGAAACCAAAGATTCGATAAGAAAAACCTTATTGATTTAGATAACCTCAAAAGTATTATTCTTATGAGTTTTTTTGAAGATTTTTTTTAGAAAATCTTTATTAATTTTTTTTGTAAATTCTGGCTTCTTTGGATGACTTCCTCTTTGAAACCATACTTTTGGAGTCTTTCTCCTTTTAGTTTTTTCTAATTAAACATTCGCTAATGATCCTGTTTTCTTTCTGTAAGATTTGAATACTTCTTTAAACATAATTTCAGAAGAATTAGACTTTTCAAAATTTGATGCTCTTTTTATTAAGCCATTAAATAATAGTTTAATTTCTATTTTGTAGGTTTCAAGACTACTACTTAACGGTCTTTGATGGGATTTCAAAAGTAAAATAAACTTCAATTGTACGTTGAATCAACTTTGATAACATTTTATATTATAACTATTAAAACTTTCAAAGCCAACAAATTAATATTCTAACGTGTTTACTGAAAAACAACCAATTGATAATTAAGAACAACCAGTTTACGATGATTCAAGAAATTTGATGAATGAAAAATTTTTTTTTATATATATATATTTTTTTTATATTGAATAGAAATAAAGTATGCACCGCAGCAAACTGTTTAAACTTATTAAAAATGATGTAATATATATATATAATCTAGCCGGTATTTTAATACTTTTGTATACTTAGATTTCATTTATATTAATTTATTATATAAATGAAATCGCAGTATATTATTTAAGAAACATAAATTTGCATTTGTTGGATGATATAATTTACAAATAATTTACCAATTTGTAAACATAAAATTTTTAAATTAGTAATATTTTTAAACGTAAAATAAATAAAATTATGACATATATTGTTCAAATTGGTCTCATTTTTCCATATATTTTACATTTAGATTATGTACAAATTATAAGGTGGTTAAAAATTACGTTTAAATTAGTAAATGATTGTTTTGTATATATTCAGTTTTTTTATAAGGCCAATAAATTTTCTTTACATCCAAACTAAACTGTCACGCGCGAATACGATCGTCCGACTCGTCCGTGGACAAATTTTATAGCAGGCTATATGTAATTTTATATGGAAAATCCAGCCGGCTTATTTGAAAATATCTGTTCAATGTGAGAAATTTCTTGAAGAGAGTAGTGAAACAATAAGTCTCAATCCAATAAACTTCATATTGTAATGAGTACTAATGTCTTGTCATTTAAAATATACCGACTAAATAAGATTATTTCAGCTTTATTTAATAAACATAATTCGAATCTTACGAAATTCTTATGGTTATAATGCGATAAAATGCAATGTGATTATATTTTTAAGCTCTTGTAGCTTATCTTGCACCAACACTTTTGAAAAAAAAAAAAAATTTCCAATAAAATAGTTTATCATTCTTGATTTTAACAATTAAATAATATTTATGAAATATTCCCTTGTTACCAAAAACTAGAATTAATGAAGTTTGATACAATTCTTTCTATGTAACGCACTATTGATAAATGAAGACGAAAATCGAATTTTATCTTTTTTGGCTTAATAATCTGATTAATATACATAACATAATCAACGTATGTATATCTAAGTAAGAATTAAAGTATAAGACTATACAAAATATTCTAATCTTTTAATTTTTTCGATGAGGTTGAATTCGAATACGACCAGGATAACGAAATGATACTACTGGATAAAGTTTTGATGGTAGATTATTCCATTCTGATACTTCTCGATACTTTTTACCATCATTGATTGTAAAAGCACAAGTTCTTTTATTCATATCTAAATGAACTGTAATTTTTGCACCATCTTCATGAAACGTGGGACAATAATTTACTATATAGCTATTATGATTACGAAGCTCACTACCAGAACTCAATACCCATCCAGTAGGTTGAATTCCTGCAAAGGTTTCATAATTTAAATTTTCTGACGCACATACTCCAATCCAAGTATTACCACAAGCTTTCTCAATAATTACATCCCATTCAAAAATGCCATTACTTTCAAATGCTATTTTGGCTCTAACATTTTGGTAACTACAATCATTTGGTGCACACACAATTTTTCCGTTATCTTCAATAATAAAATTTGATCCACATGCTGATTTATCCCAAACATAATCGATTTCATTAATTTGTGGTTTTCCACGAGTATTACTTAAATTGAAATTATTTGATTTTATAGATTGTCGATAAATATTTAAAATTATTTCAATTGGGACAATTTTTAGCGGCTCGATGAGATCAACTAATATTGAACCTTTAATTCTTTTGAAATCAATAAATTTAACCAAAGGTTCTAATTCTTTAGCAATTTTTTGATGATCGGGGATAAGTTCATTTTCTACTTGGATTGAATTCTCCAATTGGTCTAAGGTTGGCAACCGTTTCAAAAAAGTTTTAAACGCATCATTAGAAACTTGTTTTGCTGCTAGAATTGCACTATACCGAAAAACTTCATATTCCGGGGTCACAAAAGACATTTCTTTTTCATGTGTAATAGATAAAAGACATTTAAGACCCGTAATAGACAATCGACCAAATTCAATATTATTTAATGACATAATTGCTACTGTTTCAACCAATAAATTAAGAAAAATATTATCTTCCGCTAATGGAGTTTTTTCTGTAACTTTAGATAATAATTCCGGTGAATAATTTTTAACTAAATTAGTATTCATAACCGTTTTTGTAATAAAATCCTGAAGGTCTGATAATTGAAAATAATCAGCAGCGTAAAAAGCTTCAATTGCATTATCTTTTGTCAAAGATTCTTCTTTAATCGATCCCGTATAAATATATTCTAATATAATTTCCATCCCGGCGGAATTAATCTTTGGAAAAGAAATTTGTTTATCATAACTTTCTTTCATCCCATTATAAAGTAGTCTATCAAATACTTCGGACCTTGCTGCTAAAATTGCTCTACAACCATATAATTTCTTTTCATCTTCACATAAAATTTCTATATCACTATACTTTGGATTGTTTATTAATAATCTTAAATCTTGTTCTAACGAATATCCTCTTGTCATTTTTCAAGAAATCTTTTTTAGAAAAAGTAATACTTTTTTTCAATCCCATTTATTCTGTACTATGTTGTACTAAACCAAAAAATGCATTACGTGCATATCATATGAATTATAGCTGCTGCAATTTTCGGTCACGTGTTCTCCAAACCTCTCGTATTTTTAATATCAATAAAATACTATTTCCCTATATACAACTAAATATGTGAGAAACCATATTGGTGCAATTTGCGTACTAATTTTTTAATATTAAACGATTAATTAATCGATTAAGAACTAACTTTGGTTAATGACGTTAATCGCTTTAACGAGGTAAAGCTTTTTTTTTTTGGTCGGCTACAACCTCCAAATAAAAGTACATTTAATACATATGTTAAATTATTTATGCTTTATAATTTTGGTTTAAAATAAACTTCGCCTCCTCAAATAAATCTTATTTTACAAAACCATTTTAAGAAGCATACTTTTATAGAGTAAATTTTTTTTATGTCTTAGAAGAAACAACTGTATTACGCAATTATAAATAAAATCCTAAAGAACCATCTTTTTTCTTTATAACAATTAAAAGAGAAATTATATGTTAAATCCACCATTAACTGTTGGCGTAAAAATAATACAATCCTTTAAAACACTAAGTACACTTGAAAGTTGGGTGAATAAATTTTATTTTTATAAATAAATTACATTATAAAATGTTGCTGTGAACTTTACTCGTAGTGAATATAATTTACAATCATTAAATATAAATAATTATTCTATATAAGATTTCGTCCATAATTAAAATGTTCTGCACATCATAGTATCATAATAGCATAATTATTCCACAAAATAAGTAAAGAATATAATATACCGTAGTACTAGTACTTTATAATATTATAACAATTCACTGTCATAAAGGTCTTGCAAATAAAAAAAAATTGAATAATCTGCAGCTATAATCAATAATATTACTTCTCTTCAACAACTTTAAAAGTTGAATTGGTACAAAATCAAGGAGATCGAAGAATAACTAACATCAGGAAACTTTTTCCACTTAAAATCCACATCGAATATTGTGGAAATATGTGGAAATCTGACCCTGTGACAATACACGTGTATTTTCGGCGGCGTAGAAAATATTTGTGGACCGATCTACCCTATGGGTTTTACAAATATCTGCATTATCAAGCTAAATTCAAATAAGTATATCAGATGTCTACCCTATAGTTTATTCTGATAAATTATAAATTAACCTGAGCTAATAGATATTGGACGCTACAGAACAGGAATTAACGGCTTATCCGTTTATCCGTGTAAATAAATCGGAAATTATAGTCTGCGGTAAGAATATATATTAACTCGAGCCAAATTTATAATTTACCAGATTATACTGCACGTTAGTCATCTGATACGCTAATTTGAATTTATCTTTATATATTCAAATATACAGGATGTATAAAACGCCTTATCCGTTTAAACGGATTGGAACACTAGTTCGAAACAATTCTTTCTATATCACATAAATAAATTTGATATTACGAGAATATAAACAATTTTATTTTTCTTGCTTAATAATTTAATTAGTACATGGTATAATTCATAATCAAAAAAATACACATATAATAAAGTCATAAAATTTGAATTTGCAATAAACATTTTAACTTTTTTGATGAGGTTGAATTCGAATACGACCAGGATATTTTAATGATACTACTGGATAAAGTTTTGATGATAGATTATTCCAAGCTGATACTTCTGGATATTTTGTACCATTGACTGTAAAAAAACAAGTTCTCTTATTCATATCTATATGTACTGTAATTTTTGCTCCATCTCCGAATGATTAGCAATAATTATTGTATAGTACTCTATTTCTTGAATGGCTATAACTACCATCGGAACCTAATAGTCTAATACCCATCAAGTAGATTGAGTTCCTGCAAAATATTCATGACAAAATTTTCTGATGCACATACTCCTACCCAAGAAGCATTGCAATCTTTCTCAATAATAACATCCCATTCAAAAATACCATTATTTTCAAATAACATTTTAACTCTGATATTTTGCCGTTCATAAAGATTGACGTACAACTTTTCCATTATCCTCAATAATAAGTTTTGATCTACATGCTGATTTTATCCCAAACATAGCCGATTTCATTAATTTGTGATTTTCCACGAGTGTTACTTAAATTTAAATTATTCGATAACGCTACATATCGATAAAAGTTAAAAATTATTTTATTTGAAACAATTTCTAGTGGCTCAATAAAATTGGCTAATATCTGAGGTTTAATTCTTCTGAAATCAATATACTTGACCAAAGGTTCCAATTTTTTGATGAATCCTCCAATTGGTCTAAGGTTGGCAATCGTTTCAAAAAAGTTTAAATGCATCATTAGAAACTTGTTTTGCTGCTAATTGCACTATACCAAAAAACTTCATATTCGGGGGTCACGAAAGGCATTTCTTTCATGTGTAATAGACAAAAGACATTTAAGACCCGTAATAGACAATCGACCAAATTTCAATATTACAATGACATAATTGCTACTGTTTCAACCAATAAATAAGAAAAACATTATCTTTCGCTAATTGAGTTATTTCTGTAATTTTAAATAGTAATTCCGGTGAATAATTTTTAACTAAATTAGTATTCATAACCGTTTTTGTAATAAAATCCTGAAGGTCTGATAATTGAAAATAATCAGCAGCGTAAAAGCTTCAATTGCATTATCTTTTGTCAAAGATTTTTCTTTAATCGATCCCGTATAAATATATTCTAATATAATTTCCATCCCGGCGGAATTAACTTTGAAAAAGAAATTTGATTATCATAACTTTCTTTCATCCCATTATAAAGTAGTCTATCAAATACTTCGGACCTTGCTGCTAAAATTGCTCTACAACCATATAATTTCTTTTCATCTTCACATAAAATTTCTATGTCACGATTTTTTTAGAAAAAGTAATACTTTTTTTTTCAATCCTATTTATGTACAGTATATTCTGTACTATGTTGTACTAAACCAAAAAATGCATTACGTGTATATTGTCACGGGATAAATATTTTTTATTTTTTATTGTTTTTATTTTTTAATCTATTTTTATCTTTTTTTTTAGTATAGTTATTTTTAGTTATTTTTAGATATTTAGTGATTAGATAAACAAACGGAAGCTTAACGATAGAAAGGTGGCTGAATATAGGTGACAGTATAACAAATGTGCCCAGATCGCCGGGAGCCGAATGGCGATTCTGTTCGAAAAGACAGAATTGTACCAAAATTTTAACATTATAAAAAGGACCGTTGTTGGAAGTTCAGTTATGACAGTTCTAAGTTCAGTTCAGTTAGAATTCAGTATGATAAGTTTAGTTTTATTATCAACCGATAATATACGGATATTACAGAGCGCCGATAGAGGCAGTGAGGAGGCGAAGTTTATTTTAAACCAAAATTATAAAGCATATTAAATAATTTAACATAGAAACAAGGTTCAATAAAATTATCGGTTAATCATTGAAATTTAAAATTATGAATTAAATGTACTTTTATTTGGAGGTTGGAATCGGCCAAAAAAAAATGCTTTAACTGATTAAAGACCGATTAATGTCATTAACCAAAGTTCTTAATCGATTAATTAATCGTTTAATATTAAAGAATTAGTATGGATGCAAATTGCACCAATATGGTTTTCTAACATATTTAGTTGTACGTATATAGGGAAATCGTATTTTATTGACGGATATTAAAAATTAAAAAAATACGAAAGGTTTGGAGAACACGTAACCGAAATTTCACATCACTATGATGTTTAATGAATATATAGAAAGTAAGTAACGGAAATTGACAAAGTAAGTAACATAAAGTCACATGATCTATTACGTTACTTCTCTTATATAGTAAGGTACGGAACGTAAATTTTTTTTGGTAAATACTTTACGTTACTCCTTATGTTTGCCACATGATCGCGTCATGTTTATTTGTTTATCGAATCTTATTTTCAGTATAGTTTCGTTTCTTATTTTATTTCGTTTTTATCTTATTTACTAACTTCATTTTTTTTTACTTTATGGTTTGTTTTTTACTTGGTTTCCTATCATTACCCAACCTCTTATCATGATCATTTTTTTATTTTTTGCCTCACCTCATATTACTTCGTCTCCCATTATTTCTATTACATCTTTTCATTTCCCATTATTTCTTTTTCTCTCCTGTTTACTTCCCATCATTTCTTTTTGTCTCTCATCACCTCCTTTCGTCTCCCATCATTTCTTTTTCCTTTTTGTTTCCTATCACTTCTCATTACTCTTTTTTACTCCCTTTCTTCTTCTATTACTTTCCATTATGATTTCATTTTTTTTTATTAGCATTTTTCTCCTTGATCATTGTAATTTATTTATCTTTTTTATTTATTGTTATTGTTTTTTTTATTTGTATCACTACATTAAATAAATACAGTGATTTTTTTCGTTAAAATCGAAAATGTGTGACTTAAATTTAATATTTGCAAATAAAATTTAATTAAATAAATCGATTATTTTGAATAAATGTGTTTGCAAAAAAATTTTTGGAAATATCTTCGCAATAAAATTTTAAGTTTAACCGATTTTTAAATTCTGTACCTTATATAAGGGGAGTAACGTAAAGTAAATATAATTGACTTTACGTTCAGTGCCTAATATAAGGGGAGTAACGTCCCTATGAAAAAAGTCTGTGTGATTTTTGTTGAAAAATCATTCAATTAAATTAACTACAATTTCTGTAAATTTGACCATACAATAATTGTGCTAAAAATTGCAATAAATCACACAATTATTGCATGGTAATTCATTCAATAATTATCCTATTTTTGACCTGAATTTATACAATTATTGTGATTTTTGAGCCAAATTTTAGGCCATATTTTAGGAATTATAGGTTAAATTTTACAGTAATAACAGGCAATTTATAAAGTGAAATTATGAATTTTTTTTATTGACTTAAAATATAAAAAATATACACAATATTTCATAAATAAAATACTAAATTTGATATAATCATAAATATAAAAATTTGTAAGAAAATAAAATAAAATAAAGTATGTTAGTAACATGAAAGTAAATTAGTAGTATCAAAGAAGAAAGTAAATTATTAGTGTAAGTAAATTATTAGTATTAAATAAAAAAGTATGAAGTTAGTGAGCAAATTAGTAGTGTTAAAAAGTAAATTATTAGTATTAGTAATAAAAAAAAAGGGTTTTGTTTTTTATCGCACCCGCGATATGTCGCAAGGGCATGCGCCTCCTAATTTTATTGGCGAAAAATTTTTTTGTGGCGCGTCAAATT